CAAGATCAAAAATACTTAGTGAGATTTTGCAGAATTGCGTTAGCTCATCCTTAATTCTTCTCTTTTAGTCTCTTCAGATCAGCAGATTTCAATCTGGAGGCTGCTTAAATCTGCTGGACCATTTTGTGTTGATTTGGCTGCATGTTTCGGATCATTATCCCACTGAAAAACCCAGTTACAACCCACTTTTGTCATCTTACCACCAGATATTTATTTACAATAAAATTCTCGATGCAGATTTCCTGCGTTCAGTTTGCGTCTCTTCCTCTTCTGCTCAACTTTTCTCCAGCTGCTAACAAGGTTCTGCGGTGTCAAAATGAAACTTTTTCAAAAATAATAATTGGATGTTATTGAGAAAATTGGTGATTCCAAGCACTCTATGAGAAACAGGCCCACAGCATCACTGATAACCTGCTATCCTAATCAATGGGATGAAGAAGCTTTTTTCTCACATTCATACCAGAAACAAATGGATTGTTATTTTCCTCCTTTTCTCTCTCTCTCTCCTGACCTCAATAATCAGTCCAACTACACAATATCCAAAAAAGAAGGAGCGGTTGTCAAAAGAAGGTTATTTTCCTCCACGAAAGCAGGAATGACAAGAGAAAAAATATCAACGAAAGCGCAGAGCTTCTTGTCGATAGGCGTAAAACTCCATATCCAGTTTATCACAAAACAGAAATAAGCATTAAAAATACTCCAGTTGCATTTATTTCTCAGAAATTGCACAACTATAATTTTAGAGAGCAACTTTTAGATGCATCCTTTCTTCAATGCAGCTGAAGCTAATGACTAAACCTCCTCCTCATCATGTGCATCCGACTCTACAGACGCAACCAGACATTTATTTGATTCAGGTGTTTTGGGAGGAGGAATGAATCTAAATAGCAGGACTGGAGTTGAATATCCGTTGTATAAAAGTTTCTGGATTAAAAACCTAATTTGGCACATTTTTAGAGAATTTCTCAGTTCTTGCAAACATTTTGTTTTTAGGATCCTCTTGGCACAATTAGATTTTTTTTAACTAAGATATTTCTCTCTATAACCTGAACCTTTTCTTCTTAAGAGCTTTGAGATCATTTGTTGCTGTAATTTTACTCTACGGCTTCTTCCCAGGTGCAAAACTAAACTCGGTGAGGCAACATTTTGCTCCTCATCGCTGAAAAAAAAAATAAAATCCTGATAATCTGAAAAGTGTAGAAACTGTTGAATAAAGACTGAAAACAATATTGCAACTTCTGATCACCAGTTACATTATTATCCCAATCTCTGACAACAGATATCTCTGATAATATCACATTTAACATGTTTCTTTTTATGCAACATTTTAAGGTTTATCCTCCATTTAACCCCAATGTGAAGGTAAAAAATCCTTGTTTTTGCTGAATCAGACGTTTAATTCATGCCTTTTCTTCAGTTCATGGCAGGATTTTAACTAAGCATGGAGTTAGCATGATCTCCCTGATTTATACATGTTGGCTTAGCATGTACAGGCACAGAAATCTTCTCTCTTTCCTTCGGGTGGTTAATGCCGGCTTCCATTTATACTCATTACTGGGAAATTCTGACTTCCCAGTCGGAAAAATCAAGTGGAACGCCGTCCGAAGCCGGCTTGTCACTGGGAGCAACTCCGACTTCTCACTGTCATTATCTTCTGCCACAGTTAATCTCGTCAGTTGTGGAGGTGAAGCACAGATTTTGCCATCCGCTACAAAACACTGAAGAAGAAAATCTTGAGCGATTGACACGTAATTTATTCAGATAAATTAAAATAGACTTTTTCTCAGTGGTTTTGTCTTGAGATGTCTTAGCGAATCACATCTTGGTGCTTCTCAGGAAAATCTGGTTTTTGTTGACGTCATTGTTCATTGGATCTGAATCTGCCTCCTTTTGCACAAATCAAAATTTACAGAAACTTTTTACTGACAGCATCAACCTACATTTAATTTTGCTTTAAAACATTTATTCACTTTGATCTTCTTAAAAACTGATCATTGACCTAAGAAAGAGAAGCAGAGACCGGAACTTCACACACAGTTGCTCAACAATTTCATCTTCCTTAGAGGAGATGTCCTTTTTTTTTTTTTAAATCCATCAATTTGTGACACAGATCATCACTGGCAATGAGGTCAGCTGTGACTTTTATTTTGAAAGGAGTCGTTGGAGGCTGCAGAAACAGTGAATTTGCTCTTTTGGATGATCTTTAAGAGATTGTGTGCATGAGTCACAGGCAGCGTTTTCAGGAAGTGTTGTGACAGAAACTACCGGCCTCTCCTGTGAGTCCACTTCCTCCTCTCACCTCAGCCCTGCCTCTTGTGAAACCTGCAACTTTTGTACATGCTCTGGGGTCTTTTCCTGTAGCAGCCCCCTGTTCCATTTTTACCCCAAAGAGTGCAATAAATCCCTCAAGGCAACACAAGAGATTGATCAATGAACCATGATGGATTTGGCTGCTTATTTTTGAATGAATGCAACACTTAAACCCTAAATCTTCTCTTTAGGTTTGTTCCTTGTGTACAAACTGATGCTTTAATATAAAATTCAACCTTAAATTACGAATTAAAGCAAATAATTCATGTATTTTACAGCTTTGAGCTTCAGTCTCAATAAAAAGGCTTGTCATGAAAAAGGGGAAACTCATTCTGCTGCTGTGAAGAGCAGAATGAGTCTCTGAATCTCAACAGAGTTTGAAGTTTAAACAATCCAACACATCTCTGGTCATGTAAAGATGAAAATTTGACTTGTCTGACGCCTTCATCTGGCACATAAACAAAAGCTGTTTTACTTCAAGTTCAGGTAGATTAATTGTTTTATCAGTTTTGAAGCCATCAAACTGATGGCTTCAAAACTTTTCTTACTAGAAGAATTGCAAAAATCCAACTTTTTGTTTGTACTTTGTAGATAAAATCTGAATGCGGATGTAAAAGTTACACACCTGAGTTCACACAAGTCAAAGCAGCTCAGAGGATATGAAAGTGGGGTGCTTTACCATTGTTCCTGTGGGCTTCTCCTCCTCAGGCGTCCACCGTCCAGAGAGTGTGTGTCGGCTGCGTGTGTGTGCCGCTAAAATCCGCGGTTCGACCTCGTCAGACTGCGGCCATCATCCAGGAGAGGGACAGCCGAAACCAGCAACAGGAGCTCACACTGCAAGACCTCCAGCAGAGCCGTCACATCTACTTCCTCATACTCCCACCGGCAGTGTGTGAAACAAGAACTGAACACACACACAGCGATGCACACGCTCACCACACACTGCTAAGAAGCTACTTCTGTATTTCTGTCTTGCTACCGGCCGCCAGGGAGGATTAAGAAGTGACCGGTTTGTTGGCTGCAGCCATCAAAGCTGCGGACCAAAATTAGTCCGTCAGATTCTTCTGGGATGAGCGGAGGAACGGCGTCACACAGAGGGATAATTTTCTCTGGTGTGCTGCCAAATGATGATGGGTGTTTTGTCAGAGAGGTGCTGACTCCACCCAGGCTGTGGTTGCTTCACGCAGCCTCCAACGCCCTTGATAACCGATGGGTTCAGGAAGAGTGTACAGGAGAGCGTGTGGGCGTGCAGGTGGCAAACGCAGGAAGTTTTTGGTCTGTTTTAGGCTTCTTGTGAGTTGCATCTTCCTGCATCGCCGCCGTCACGTTATCATTTAAATACGAGTCATTTCGTTTCTGAATGTTTTCAGTTTGTGTGGAAAGCCTGTTTTGTATTTCTCCTCCGCTGGAACAGCATTGAAAAAAAAGAAAGTATTTTTATCTATTTCTAGTGCAAATATCTTATTGCACTTGGATTAAGACACAACAAACTTACACAAGAAAAAGTACTGGTTCCATTGGCAGATTATTTGACTTATAACAAGTTTTTCCCATGTTGTAAGTGAGATAATCTGAGTGGATTCTCAGCAATACCAAGAAATTATTCACATGAAAAAAAAACTCATCTTGCTGAAAAGTCAGTTTAGTTTTATTTCATGTGTAAAGAGATATTTGCACTAGAAACTGGCTAAGAGGTTTCACATTAACTTGCAGTGTAATGAAAACTTTAAACCTTCATCATTCAATAAAACCCAAACACTTGAAAAAATAAACATATTTTCCAGGTAAAATTGAATTTTTTCTTAACCAGAAAAATAAATCTTCAGGTAAGAATAAATTATAAATGCATATGACATAATGTTAGCAACAAAGCTAACCCTAGTAAGACATAATTTTCTTCACTTTTTTCATTGAAATTAAGGAATGATTAACTTACAAGCTCCTATATTTGCTGAAAAGTGACTTGTAAGTTAGCTTTATCTCTTCAACTGCACTAACTAGATGTAAATACTTGGTAATATTTAGTATTTTTGCAGTGTAAACAGTTTGTTTCTGTTTGGCGTCTGTTCTCCCCGTTGCTGCCTCCCTTCCTGTGCTGCTAATCTCTGTCTGGGTGGAGCTGTTGCGCCTGCTGCACTGATTAATGCACCGACTGCCATTTTCTCACAGACCCAGAAGCATTTTGAACATTTTAAAGCCAGAAAGCCTAAAAAAGTGATTGCTTTTACTAGCAGGTGTAGCGCTTGAAAGTCATCCTTCCAATGTTTCACAACGAAACGTCAATTAAGGCTTTTTTAAATTCAAAACAGCACATTACATAGTAATGACGACATGCAGCACAACCAGAAGTGAATATTCAGCAATGTGGCTTCTTCTCATGGTTTTATTCCATTGACGGTTCCGTTCAGCCCAAATAAGAGGGAGAAAAAGCAGAAGTTATTGGTTCATTTTGGTTTTTCCGTGAAAACAGGCTGATTCTGAAATAGATGAGCGATGATGTAAACCAAAAGTCCTTCCCAGACTGAAACCAGATCAGCGCTCACTTCCTTAAATTAGCAAAAAGTTTCATCAATCTAGTGCTTCCTTTAAAGGAAAAATGTAGATTGAACAGCATGCATGAACAAAACGGGAAAAATAATAGCAGTACAATAGAGATACAACAGTGAAATATAAATTTTTTTTAACAGCCTTTTTATTTAAAAAAACATGCAAACAAGTTTTAAAATAAAAGTGATTTGATTAAATTAAATTTGATCATTTCTTGTTTTATACATATTTACCAGAGAACCAACACGTCTCCCATTAAATCACAAGTAAAGACATAATTGAGACATTTTAAAATGTGGCGTTATTTTCTTTAAAGTCACTCCAGAACAAGTAACTTAAGTGTTTTACTGTGGACTGTTTCCTTAAGCTCCAACAGTGAGTCCTAAGCTACAGAAACTGGTGAAGATTTTCAGCTGGAAAGAAAATTTTACATATGATTCAAAAGCATGCCACACTTTTCAGATTAGGTGGTTGTAGAAATGTAAAATCCAAACTTCCAGGGGATAAAAATACTTTTGTAAGACACTGTGTAAGCATGAAAAGTGTGTGTCATGCTGGATAACGTCACTGCATTCAGGAAACGGGGCCTCTGAGTAATTAATGTTTTCATTGTAAACATTAGTTATTACACAAATAAATGAAGACATGAATCAAAGAGGACTTCTAGTGGATGAACCTTTATAAACAGCTGCACTTATACACTTCATCACTATACGTTCTACCTTGCAGACCTGTAATATATATAAAAAAAGAAAGGCTCAAGTTGATTTTTAAATAAAAGATTTTAACAACTGCTTACATGATACATGAGGAACAAACGACAGTCAACAAATAGCACCATTCAAAACCGAAGCACCACCAGAAGTAACGGGAACAAGTGCAGCCAATCCTCACAAAGACAGACCGTCACTTCCTTTCTTCACAGAGAAACGTTTGAGTGTCGCAACAAGTAGCTGCTCTAACTAAACCCCGGCAGGTCAGAGAGCAGAGTGAGCGTCACAGCGAGGCCACGAGGCGCGAAGACTGAAAACACCGAGGCGGCATTTCTTCTGTTTCTCCCTACGAGTCGGAGAAACGCGGTTTATGCGTCACTAAATCCGCTCTGCTTCAGACGAGGTCGTACCAAAAGTGGGACACTTCAGGGTCACGTTAAAAATAAACCGAGAGTCAATTCTCTTCCCCTCCCCAAAACAAACAAACAAAAAAACAGTGTCAGCGTTTCTGACAGAATGCTGTGATTTCGTAATCTCCGAAAAGATTTTGTGAAGAGATTCTGTAGGCCCATTACTTTACTTTTATTACATTTTTCCAAATATTTGATACTCATTTACCTCATCACTGTGCATCAGATTTCTATTATTTACACAGAAGAGGATTTTAGCCTCTTCTGATTTCTAATTTAAAATTCAGAGGGTTTTATTCTCAGAATCTTATTCTGTGTCAAATAAATAACCAAACTTTCTTAGGTAGAAAATAAAATAATATTCAAAATCACAAAAGATGAAATGGGCTCTTGGGTTCGGACATTTCTATTTTTTGTGTTTTAAGACGAGATAGTCGTCTTAAATATCCCCACTTTAAAAAGAAATAAGAGTTCCAGTTAGAATGAAATCAGGTTGGTTTAAAGTTATAGACAGAGCACCTGCAGTTTTGTGAAGGAAACTGTCTGAAAGGGGGTCATGCCTGAAGAAAGGCTGATAAATGACGCATTTAATTTCTCAGATTAGCTTTTCTGATGTAAAGAACGTGACAGAAATGTGAGGCTGCCTCTCTCCTCTGTTGGCCTCTTCCTGTTGGCAGAGCTGTGGCTCACTGTGCTCTGTGTTTCCACTCAGTATTTGCACCTTTACACATGTGGGAAAAATAAAATTAAACAAAAACTTTACAACCAGGCTGCACGGAGCGAAATCTGATAATGTCTGAGACTTCGTGCCAAAGTCTGACAATCTGAAACTATTTGCAGTGAAGCTCTGCTGCGTGTTGCGATTTAACCTTGCAGAGGTGACAAACTGTCGGGGAAACTACCCAAATGGCAAGACCGAGGCGTTTTCCACAACTTCCATAAAGACATCAAGTCAAATGATGGGACAAGAAACACAAAACACACAAGTCCTCCGACTGCAGACGCTTTGTGCAAATCCAAATCTGCTCTTACAACCGAATAACTGCGAGGACTCAATGGTTATACTGATATGCAACAAAACAAGACATAAAAACAGTAAGTCAAGTAAAAGCTAACATCAAAATATGTTTTCAAATTAAAGGAGCCAATCTTTTCCACTGCAAAAACACAAAAGTACTTTGGTCGAGTTTCTAGTGCAAATATCTCAGTGCACCTAAAATAAGGAAACTAACTTAGAAGTATAGAAGCTTTAAGTCAATGATTTCTACATATTTATGAAATTGTACCATTTCCAGAGACAGATTATTTCACTTATACATGAAAAATTTATCTTGTCATCAATGACAATGGAACAAGTACTTTATAAATAAACTCCATCAATTTTAATGAACTATTGGCTTGAAACAAGCTTATATATCTTGTTGAAAAGTTATGTGTTGGTCAGTTTTGTCAAGTGCACTAAGATATTTGCACTAGAAACTAGACCAAAATTAATTGATAAGATTTTGTGTTTTTGCAATGTTGTGGGCACAGATATCGTGAAAATCATTTCCTTTCAAAGTGGATGTTTTAAAAACGTATAACAGGCTAAACATTTAGGCCACTCAAGTGATAAGAAGTGGAGTTTAAGATTACTGAAACCAGTCCCATAGCCAAAATTAAACGCATAGCACCAAAATATTAAGACCAAGTCAAAGTTTAGAGAGGCAAAGAGAGGGTCAGCTGCTGCCTCCCTCCCTCCTTCCTCTCCAGGTTTCAGCGCTGGACCCTCTCCTCCAGTGGAACGATGTTTGGTCCAGAGATTTCAAATCTGGATTATCAGTGAGGAGAGGAAAACAAAGCACCCCTCTGACTAATTTCAGGATCTGTTTGTCAGCATCGACAGTGGAGCCCAAGCTTGAACCGACGGAGAAACGGTGAAGGCTGCTGCAGCGAGGCTCAGTGGAAAAGGTTCAGTCTTACTGTTTGACCCTGCGACCGCAGCAGCGTCAGTGTCCCTGGCAGGTCTTACAGCACATCTGTCTGAAATATGGCCGGTTGCAGAACTTGAACCTGAGCACCAGGGGGCAGTACGCCACAGTGCTCACATCTTTACACTCTGCAGAGACAAAGAAGGAGAACCACAGCTTCACAAACGTGTTGGACAATCTGATATTAGCAATTTATCATCTCAGCATATATTATCTATTTTAACTAAAAGTCATAGAAAAACAAATTTTGTTGTATGCTAATCCTTTCAAAATGTAATATTTTTGATAGACTGAGAGCTGTGTCATAATTTAAGATTATTTCCTCCTGTAGAAAATGGTTGCTAAAAAAACAGCCTGTGGATTTTGAGGATGTAGCATTTAAATCTTTGATAAAACAAAAAGTTTCAAAGAGTTCACAAAAATATCTTGATCTGTTCAAGGAATTAACATAATTGAAATTAAATCAGGAAGGAGGAAAAAACAGAATAAATTCTGCATTTATCATATCTAGTGTTCAGTGGGTCAGGATTTATGGTCGTTCAATCACTGTGGTGGGCACCGCTAACTAAAAAGAACCATAAACAGTTGTACAGTTAGCGGACGTGTGCCCACCAGTGTTCCCTGAACCTAATCCGAAGAAATAAAAACTCCTCTCGGTTCAACAGAGAATATTACCAGCACTGAAATTTGACCTCTGACCTTCTGGGTTCTCTGAGTTGACGGGCAGACTGGCGTCACATTTGCTCTTGCACTGCTGCATGGCGGCGGGCCGCTGGTGCTCCAGACACTCGTTGGATGGCTGGCCAGTGTGGGCCAGGCACTGAACCGAGCGCATCTCTTGACCCAGACCGCATCTGGCAGAGCACTGGACCACGAGAACACGTTTCTCAGAAAGATCATCTCAACTTGGTTTCCCAGAAGATTCATTTAAATGATAAAACTAACAGGAAGACTAATAGCTAACAGTTAGACTTAATCCAGGTAACACAAAGTTAGGAAGCTTGGACAGAAACACTTCCTATTTTTTAATTACGCTCTTTAAAAGCTACAAAGAGCAACTTCCTGCTATTTCTGAGTTCCTAAAAAGTCTATTTTCTTCTCTCAATGCCTCACAATGATTTACTTAAAAGTCAAAGTGTCACTAACAAAGCAATTATATATTAAACATGGCTACTTCAACTACCTACTCCACAAGATAAAGAAGAGATTCAGTTTATTTAGTAGTTGTGAGGATTTTGTGAATTCATCAAGTAAAAAGAAAGTACATTCCCTTTAATTCAAGCGTTTTATTTATCAGGAATGGAGAGTCAACATCAAACTGACCGAAGTGACAACATTTAATTTCAGATTAAGCAGCCCTGATCCGGCAACCAAACAACACACACTCTACAATAAAGCTCTGCTATATCACCACTCTTCAATTTGGAAGTTGTTACTGAGTAAAAAGAGACTGAAAAAGTATGTTTCTAAAAATTTTTTCTCAGACAATAAACTATTTTGTCTAGATTATTGTCAGTGCAATAATCCTGTTATATTACAACATTTGGGCTGAAAAACATAAGAATTTAGATGTTGCTAATCTCATGTTTAACAGTTTTAAGTTTATTCCTATAATATTTGTATTGAATTTCCACAAAAAAAATCATTGAAAGTAATGTTTTCAGATCTGTTTTTCTTGTCATCAGTTGGGAATCTATGCATTTTTTCTGTCCCACAGAAAAAAAGACCCATCCTCTTTTTGCTAAATTTTATGTTTAGCTTCATTTTAAATCCTAAAAATACTAAAACATATATGGATATTTAAAAATGGCAACAGGCAAATAGTAGATACTTATCTAAACTTATAAGTCATCATTTTTCAAAAAGCCATGTGACATTTGTGGCTGTAAATGAGTTTTATTTGGCTGGCCTGAGAGTAACACGGCTCTTCAGGTTGTACAGGTTGCAGATCACTGGCCTAGTCCAAGTTCAGATCTTAAAATGATCAAAATGTTGCAGTGGAATCTTAAGACACCAGCTTCAGCTTGTGATCCTCAGTCAGCAATTTAAACTTAATTTTCCACACACTTCCCAGTTTACCCAGGGATCTGTTTGTTTTTGTAAGCTCCAGGTTGAATTACATAAATTTAGAGCCTGATGGAAGAGAGTGTACTTTCTTTAATAATGAACTGAATGTTTTGATCAAGTAAAAATGGTGAAGGACGTGTCCAGCGTCTCACCTCGCCCCACGGGCCCGTCACCCAGACAGGAGGAGGGCAACGCTGCAGGTTACAGCGCACCCTGGACGTCGGGCGGCCATTTTTGGGACACTTTGAGTCTGGCAATGTGTCGCCGCTCTCCCCGCTCTTACACAACACCACGCGATGTCGGTAGCCAGGACCACAACTGGGTGTGCACTGCAGACAGGAGGAGGGAAAACAATCTTTACACCGACAGTCAGAGCAGCTGAGAGATGGAGGAGCAGGGAGGTCACTGCGTTCATAAGCATGCAAAAAAAATTATAAAACTTTGTCATTCCAGCAGGGGGCAGCAGCTGCAAATGAAACAAAGCCAACAGCATGCAGAGTTTTTGTAAAACCTGACAAATTAATGGAGAAAGTGCTCAAAACTGTACTTAAGTAAAAGTACAAACAGACAAAACTGTGGCCCAGTAAAAGTATCATACTAACATTTTTATCTAAGTAAAAGTATTTGATTTTAAAAATAATGCATTGAAGGTAAAAGTACTTGTGCAATGATCAAAGTTTATTTACATATCATAATTACAACAACCTCAGCTGACCAAAGTGCTTCAAAACATCACAGATAGATAAATTATAATGCAGAAAATAAAATTAAATTTGGTAAAAAAAAAAAAGAGAATTAAAAAACAGGTAGAAAATACCAAGAACCAATAATATGAATAAATGCCAATATATGATTAAACAGCTTGAATAAGTGATGTTCTGATATCAGCCTTTTTTTTTCCTTCCCTTTTCTTTTTGACTGGTGTAAAGAAAACCATTAATACCACCGGCAACAAAAGAGTTAGCAGACATGTTTTTAACTTCTAGAAGTTCTAAAATATTGTTTTTGCTTTTGGCAACTTATTGAAGTTTTAAAATAAAATAATATACTGCCTATTATATGCAGTTTAAGTGTGAACCGTAACATGATCAGACCTCCTGCCTGTACCGCTGAAGGTAACTGTTTGTCTCAAAGTTATACAAGAGAAAGACAGGAAAATATTTCAATAAACAAATAGAACAAAAATTTCTTGTACATGTGTTCATGTTTCTACTGATGTGTAATTATAATTTTATCCTTGCAGGCAGCTTTTAAGCATAAAAAGAGCAACAATTATTGCTGCTAGCATACGGAAGAGGCAGCGCTACACTAGATGTCAAAGGTTTGGCTCTTTATTCTGTTTTTCATAAACATCTTAAAACTTTGAGGTCTTTTATATCTTCTAGATCTGATAGAAACCCAAGATGCCATCTTCTACATCACAGTCATGATGCCTCCTGAATGACAGGTGCACTGAGAGACAGCAGCCATTTTTATGTGCAAATGTAAACTTTGAGGTCATTTGTCCTGGCCAATAATGTTCTCTTGTTTTATTTTTTCAAACAACTGTGTTTTTGGAATGGTTCAAAAAAGCAACTGTTGTCTAAAACAACTGCAAAAGTCAAAATAAAGCATGCAAGACTGCAAAAATGTGTTCGTACCTCAGACCAGTCCAAGGCCAGCCACTCTGGAGGGCAGCTGTGGTTGCTGCAAGGCTCTGTGAACGAGGGGCGGGTGGAGCTGCAGGCCGAGTCGTCCAGGACCTTCTCCTCCACCGCAGAGATCCTCCTTTTACATAACACCTCCCGAGTGCGCAGGCCGCCGTTGCAGCTGCGGCTGCACTCCGACCACTCTCCTGTCCACCAGCTGGAAGTGGAAATAAACCTGCTGTTTGTTTTTAATATCCTCACACGCTGCTGCCGCATTAAGAAGGAAATGCAAGAAAAGTTTTGAATTCCCTCTCATGCAGAGGCAAAGTGATCAGGACTCACTTTGGGGAGCACGGCTCAGTGTTGCAGGATCTGCTCTTCTCTTTGGGTTTGCTCTTCTTGTCACAGAAGTGATTGTAGACGACAGAAAGATCCGACTGCCTCTTACACACAACCTGCTGGATCTGTACACCTGACCACAGGTGAGACAGAAAAAATGCAGCGCAATGTCGAAATACAAACACATTTTATCACTCAAACTTCACAGCATTGCACTGGAAAAATACCAACTCTTAGCAAGTATCTGTCTAAATTCCAGTACAAACATCTTAGTACACTTGAAACAAGACAAAACTGACTTACAAGTAACTTTTCAGGAAGCTATAAAAGCTTGGTTACAGTTAATAATCCTACAGTATCAATAAATGTACTGATTTCACTTGCAGATTGTTCCACTAACGAGACATTTCTTTCATCAGTATTCAAGAAGTATTGACTTAAAACAGGCTCCTAGTTTTAGTTTTGTTTTATTTCAAGTGTACATAGATATTTACCCTAGTCCAAAATACATGGATTTGTTTCAGTGTACTTGAATTTTATGTGATAATTGCTTCCCTATGACAAAATAAAACCTATTGCTAATTTGTCCAGTGAAGGCAACTAGGAGTTCATTGACTCCTATTCTTTTTAAAAAGCCTCACCTGCGGATTCTGATTCTGTCCAAAACCAAATTATTTTGTCTGAAAGTTGCTGAAGATAGCAACAAAGTTTCCCAGTTGGCGACAGTAGAGTGACTATTGTTAACTGCTTTTGGTCAATTTTTTACTAAATCTGATTATTTTTCTATCAAATGCGAGCGCAATGTCACGTCAGTGTGAACGGTTTATGACCTCAAAGCAACCTGCATGTGTGTAAACATCAATAAAACAGTAAAAAATTGATGTTTTCATATTTAAATTTCATTTCTTTACTTATGTTCAGGTTATGAGTTGATCAGCCAGTGACTGTGTAGCCGATAAAACAAATTTCAACATGTACTTGTACTTCATCTTGCTTTCCTACCTCCCGCACACAAAGCTGAGCAGCGGGACCAGGACGTGTACTGCCAGGCGAAGCCGCTCATGGGTTCCCTGCTGGCAGGCGGGTTGAAACGATAGTGGATCCCCTGGTTGTCCTCCCTCACCAGCACCTAAATACACAAAAGCAAAACAGGAATAGACTCACGAATTTCACTTCATCAAATTCTAACTGTGCACCTTTTGAACACTTAATATTTCTTCTGTCCCAGTCCTACCATGACAATGAGGGTCATGTTCGTTGGGCCCAGAGCTTCTAGCGTTTCTGGACCATCGGTGGGCCGCCTGTAGTGGAAAATCGTCCCAGCAACGCTGAACCTTCGAGGCGTGTCGATGTTGAGCTTCCCATTGATAAAATACTGGTCATTTTTGCTCTTCAGGACTGAAAGACAGAGAACAGACATCTACTCTTTAGGTTTCAAAAATACATTTTACAATTTGATAGACTGAAGCAAACTGTGAATGTATGAGCTGTGACTTTAAAACCAGTACATGTTCCTCTCCAGTTAAAACTAGTATCAGTTTTTAATCTGACAAGTGTTTGTTTAATCTTTGACTTACCAAGGTAGTTGAGGGAAATGTTGAGCTCTTGAATGTGGATGAACACTGATCCTTTAGGAATTCTCACCACTTCTTCATAATCTGGGAGCCAAAAACCCAGAAAAAAAGAGAGTGAAATGAAGGAGTTTTATTCACTGTGGACCAGTATGGTGTTTAACTCTGTGGGACATCAATGTGCTAAGCAGGGGCTTCAGTTTCCAGCTGCATTCCTGGGCAGACATCCTCCAGTCTGCTCAGAAACAACATCTCTGCCAGGACCTGGCTTCTCCCATTTTCCCTCCATTCACTCCATCTGTCTGTCTTTCGTCCATGTTTTTTTTTTTTAAATAAAAGTTTCTGCTCATCTCACCTCCAACTCGCCTCACTCTGACTTTTTGAGCTTCGCTCTGCCGTCCAGCCAGAAGACCAGGTGCTGAAACACCATAAATAACTCCAACTCACTGGAGGATGACAGAATGAAAAAGAATCACTGGAATGTAATTCCTTCCAGTGATTCTTTTTTGATTGCGAAGCTTTGAGAAGCAAACGACTTTGGTTTCAGGTGTTTTGTTTTTTTTCCAGAACATTTTGCAAAAATTTAGTAACACCTCATCACCTATTTGACAGATTTGGACAAATTGTGAATTGACATAGACTGCAAACACGGCAAATTTTACCAAATATATTTGTCTAGTTTCTAGTGCAAATATCTCAAAACATCTGAAGTAAAACAAAACTAACTTACTAGCAACTTTCAGAAAGAAAAAATAACCTATTTAACGTCAAAAACTGAAAAAGTACGAGTTGCACTGGCAGATTATTTCACCTATAACATGAAGAAAATGCCTCGCTAAAAATTAAATAATCTGCAAATGGAAGATATACTTTTTAAAATCAATGTTAAGGACAAAGCACAGAAATGCCAAAAGAATTCAAACAGATAGAACTTTTTTTTATTTTCTCAAATTAAAAACACAAACTTCACTGCATTACCACGCAGAAATGCAACATTTTACCAAGTATTTATGTCTAGATTTTAATGTAAATATCTCAATACAATTGAAATTAAACAAAACTAACTCACAACTGCCTGAACTAGATACTAGAGTGTTTTATTTCACTTATGGAATAAATAATGAGCTAAAGGAACCAGAACTTTTAAATTAATATTAAGGGATTGTTAACATAAAACAAACTCGATATCGTACTGAAATGTTATGTGTACATTCGTTTTCTCTTAATTCAAGACATTTGCATTAGAAACTAGGCATAAAATACTTGGTAAGATTTTGTTTTTGTAGTGTTGCTACATCAGAGGAGCAACCCAAAACAGGTTTTCCAAAGAAACAAAAAAAATTCAGAAACTTTAACTTACAATCCTAAAAAGAAACTTAAATGAAAAGATAAAGGCTCAAACCTCAGGCGACCATGTAGGAGGAAGCAACATGGGGGAAATGCCTTGCTATAAAATAAATAATCTGATTTAAAATGGTGTAATTTGTCAAATCAATATTAAGAACTGAGGACAAAAGTATTCAAACAGATTTAACTTTTTAAAATATTTTTTCACATTACGAACAAACTTCACTTCATGACACAGCTAGTTTCTACTATAAATAACTCAGTACACTTGAAATAAGACAAAACTAACTTACAAGTGACTTTTCAGCAAAATATACAAGACCTTAATTTAAGTGAATAATTCCTTAATTAAAAAAAAGTGTTAGTTACACTGGCAGATTAATTCTTTTATAACAAAGGGAAATGCTTTGTTACAATTTAAATAATCTGTTAATGGAACCAGTACTAATCAAATAAATTATTCAACTAAAACATGCTCAAAATCTTGCTAAAAAGTTTCTTTTTAGTTAGTTTTGTCTTATTTCAAGTGTACCAAGATATTTGCACTACAGTTGAGACCAAAAATATTTGGCAAAATTGAGTGTTTTTGCAGTGTAAATGCATCTATGCTGAGATTGGAGCACAAATTAAACAAAAATAAAAAAAAACACAGGAGCATTGGGAAATCTGATCTTTCACTTTTCTAGAACAGGCTGAACTCCAGTACACATTCATGTCATTTTTCTTAGCTTTACAGTGCAGACGCAGTGGTTTGGCTTCATTCTGTGGTCATAAAACTCTCCCTATAGGGATAATGTTATCACTTGGTATGTTAATAATAGAGTAAAGAGGTTTCTGGGATACTCTTGCAATGTAATGCATAGTTTTATACTAAGTTTTGTCTATAGGCCTTGCATACTTTTGTCTTTTTATGCTTACACTTATATTTACTGCCTCACAGCTTTATAATCTGCACATTGCAGAGTTCATTGGCAAACAACAAAACCAACAAAATAGAAGTGGTTTACTGTAATGCATGTGAATTGTGTGCTTGCATGTCATTTGTGAGACAAACAAAACGGAAAGCCACACATATAAAAGTTGCCCCAAAACTCTACTGCAGGTCAAAAACTCCAGAGGGAGACTTTAAATCACTGAAGCAGACAGCAGAGGAGAAGTGTTGGCTGGAGGCTTTTTTGGAGTTGGGAGAAATCAAAAGCTTTCTGTAGACATGACTGAGTGATTCTCTCAGTCATAAATCCTGACCGGTACCAGAATAAGCCTCCAGTCCTGCGCCTGGAGTTTGAGTTTGAGATGAAAAGGCACTGTGCTGTCGTTGTGACCGAGTCGACTTCACTTTGAAAAGTAAAGCTTCATTTCATTTAAACTCACTTTATTGTGCTGCTTTTGACAGATACAGCATTATAAATCGATGTGATTAAAAAGCAAAGCTGGACGTTGTAGGATTTTTTTTTTTAGTTGGGAGGAATTTCATCTACTCTTCTTTCCAACCTTGCATCAGTTTCTGGAGGCCACCAGACATGGATGGACAATAAATCAATGACAATGTATATCGCCATAGGAATATTCAATCCACTTTGAATATTCTGATCAATATCAACAGAAAACATGTGACACTGAACTCCAATCCAGAACCACAAGGCATTAAGGTTTCGCCACTCATTGCAGTTTAAAAATGAAAAACAACAGTGTGGATCAAAAACTTGATCAAGTTTCAAATACTTTAAACAAAACTAATTAATAAATTATTGATATTGACATGAAAGGCTTACATCGTGATATGTTTTTCAGCCCTACTTCTCATAGAAAGTGACTTTTTTTTAAACACCAGCTGTGGCTGCAGATGTTCTGAAGGCAGCCGGGCCGTCAGACAGAGGATGACAGGTTGACCCGGTTCTTGTGGTTTACAGCAGGAGTGGATGTTCGGAGTGTGGCCCGCCCCAGAGAATCATGGGAGGGGGCGATGGGTGTCAACACAAACATGAGCGACTCTGGAGTTGGTGGTGTTGTGGGCAGACAGTCACCGAAAATACATCTGATGGCAGCCGGACCTCAAGCCGCAGCGGTCAGATTTACAACCACCAACAAAGTCTGGAGAAACAACTTATTGACTAAACTAAATAAATAAACTAAATAAAAACTCAAATGGGGCTAAACGTGGTAAAGACGACCACTTCTTTAAGCTGAAGTGTTTCAGCTTAAAGAAGTTCAAACTCATGTTTGACTGGGAATAGGACTTTCAGTTTCAATTTGCAAATATGGAATCAAACACTGACATGATAATCTTCCTCAGAACTTTTGAAAATATAATCTGTAAGAAGATATTCCAGATACTTTAGTTTTTTTTCTATTGATCTAATGTACTATTCTTATCATAGATGTAGTGTTTTTATTAGATGTAAGCAGAAAATCATCATAATTAACAGATATAAAGGCTTGAAAACATCAGCTTGTATGTAATCAATAAGTTATTTCACTTAGTGGATTGAATTACTGAAATATACTAAGTTGTAAATGTATCTGACTCTCATATACCTGATTTTAGAGCAAGGTCTGGCCAGTCGTTGAGGTAAAATATTCTGAAATCCTTGTGTTCAGCAAAGTTAAGCCAGTGCTTGAGTAAATACACGATTACGAAAGTATGTTTTCATCCTCTAATTCGCCCAAATTCCATTTTTCCAAGATAGCAAAAGCCAGATATGCATATTTCCATATACCTTCAAATGGTGAAAGCTTCCCGTCTAGCCTCTGGGAAGATGAACACTTGCTCCAAAGTTGAAATTAAACTTTGCCTGGATTGACTAGATTTGGATGATGAAAGCAGAAGAATAACAGGTGAGTTGTTTTGATTTCTACCTCCTTCAGGCAGCGAGTCGTTGAAGACTCCCTCCACGGAGATGCAGCCGCTCCCGTCGCCGCCGCACGTCCGACAGCGGTCTTCACGCACGTCTGACCCGAGCACACGGTCGCAGCCCACGTGCTGCGACAAAAAGACAGGAACGAGTGAGCTGCAGAGGTCAACCGGGGTCACGGGCAGAAGAGGGCACAGTCGGTGAGCTGAGAGGTGTCAGAGGCCGAGCTGACGAATTACCTCCTAATGTCTTCCAGACCGCTTTTTCAAAACACAGAAATATCAGATGGAAAACCCAGATGTGCGCTGCGTGTTTTTTTGTTGTATTTTTTGTCTGATCCTGAGCAGACACAACGCTCTTTGGTTGCTGAACTCAAAGCTGTCGACATAAATAAATTTCATGATGAGCGAAGCAGGTGGTTTCACTCAAACTCTTAAACAGGGAACAAAACTGAAACTAAGCTGTAGAAAATGAACGACGACTGCTCCGATTTCTGTTTCTGCATGCGGCGGCTGGTTGATGCCAGGCAGCAATAATTTTGACATCAAATTCAGTTTTAGTTTTAGTCTTTTGACAAAAATTTTATTTAGTTTTAGTTGACTATTTATAATAACATTTTAGTGAACAAAATTATCTATAAAATGTAAATACTTTTTGATCAATTCACTTGAATTAACACAAAATTAATCATGTTAATGCATAAAGTTATTGTATAGCTAGAAAAACAGATTTTATTATTTTTTACTTATTTTCAACAACATATTTCAGCCAGTTGGCCTGCTCTGCCTGAAAATTGAAAATATAACCAATGATAGAAGTTGCATGAGTATATTTCACTCCTTCACAATTAATCCTAGATAATCACAATTAATGAAAAAAAGCAATTTTCATAAAATGTTTAAGAAAATGTTTTATCATCTTAAACCAAGCTGTTTCAGACTTTCCAGGCCTTTATATTTAGGATGGCTTAAAATAAGTGATTTTGTTTTAAATATAAGTTAGAAATGTTAAACTGGTTGAGCTTTGGTGGAAAGATAATTCACTACTTGCATTGTTTTATTGATTTTTTAAAGTGAATTTTCCGCTGAGCACACCAGTTTTCTTGTTCGACCCACCACCCGTCATAAAGGATTGTTTCTCACACCTTGTTGGAGAAACAATTAATACCGAAGAAACTTGCAATAAGCAATAAATCAGTTAATTGCATAATACACTAAAATATCACGCATTTGCATGATAGTTTTTTTCTACCAAAGTCTGGATGACAAAAAGCGACTTCAGAATTTATTTTATTTGTTGTTTTGGTTCTTTTGTTTATATATTTTAGATATTCAAACTAACTTCCAGTTCTAGTTTATTGATCTCTGAGAGGGTCTACTTCCATTACAGTGTCATTACCATTGTATTATTTGAAAATAGTTTATAATATTATTGTTTATTGCAATATTACTGGGACAATTTATCATCCAGGAAAAATTTGTTATTGTGGCTTTGGTTTATTTATACAGTTATTGAAACCTGGAAACATCTTTGCATCAAATCTGAGGTAAATCAAATTTCATATTATTCTTGCAGCTAAAGAGAAGAAAATAATGGAGTAAAGCAAACCTCAGACAGAATTGCTTCACCTCTCTCACTGCAAACATTTGCTCCATTAACTTCCATTAACCAGAACATCCACACTGAATAAACTACAACATATTTTCAGATGCACTGCCACTTTTCTAAAACTTTTGATTATCTAACAACAGATGTCAGAGCAAGAGACAGGTGGACATAAACCGCGAGTAAGCTGGCTAAAATAGAAAAAGAGCAGAGCCTGGATTGCAGAAAGAAAAACTGCAAGAAAAAAATAACTAGAAGGAAGTCAGAAAGTAGAAAAGGGCAGAAAATAGGAGTGCAGGGAATGAAAGCCAGCCTGCAGCGCAGACAGACTAACAACTGAGCTGGAAGGTCACTGAGTTCCTGCGGAGCAGAGCAAAGCAGAGCACAAGAGAAAAAAAGAGGACTTTTGATAAACACAACCGTCTCTTGGGATTTCCGACAACCTCTGCTTCACAATCTAACAAACTTCTGAGTCATATAAAAAACGGGTGCTAAGGTGAGGCTAAAAAGGTTGGAAGACAGAGATTAGGATGTTATTAATGTCTTATTTATACACTTAAAAGGGCTGAAGTACAAACGGTTTCACTGTGAGATTTCTAAGAAAAGCCAGAGAAATTATTCAATAAATCTTTGCTGTGAGTGTCAGCTGGCCCATTCGGAGCACCAGGCGGTCTCCGTTTTATCAAAGCGCACCACACTGGCATCATTTTGTTATAATCAACAGCTGGGATCAAGCTCATTAATGTGAATCTGAGTGTGCTGCCAAAGTTACGTCTAGTTTTATCATCTGAGCAGCTGATTCTGACAAGCAACACCAGCCAGTGTGTAAACCAGACGGCCGCAGCCGTTCAGGCTTCAAAGATGAAGACCGTCTCCTGTTGATTCGACTTATACCAGCTTACTCACGTTTTAGAGACTTTTATTGGACTAAAACCAAATGCTCGCATGGATTTGTTTAAACAAAATCCTTCTTACTGACCTTGCACTCTCCGTTTACACAAACATCCAGTGCGTCGTCTCGACACGGCGTGCCGTCCACCACGGCGGGAGCTCGCTCCGTGTAGAAGTTGTATCCTTCAGCGAGGCAGTTGAGAGAGCAGGGCTTCACCCCACCTGGACCCGCACAGCGCAACAGAACCGACACACAGAGCGTTACACAAAAGACAGAGAAGACTCGTTTAGGAGAGGTTTTGTTTGTTGTTTCAGGAAATTTTGAGTGGAAATGAAACAGACGTCAGCAATTTTTGAAGGAAAATGAAACTAAAACTGAACAAAAACAGGATGTAAAAAATGATTCTCAAATGATTCTTGACTGCTGTCCAGCGTTCTGCATAATTCCTAAGGTATTTAGATGTTTCTCTTTTGTGATGAGCTCCCTAACCTTTAGCTACTCCTAAAGTTGCTCTAGATATTGTATTTTATTTCCACTCTAAAGAAACATGTGGCTTAATTGGATCTTTGGACCACAAGGTTTTAATGCAACTTTGGCTTAAAATGCTAAAGAATCAACTCATGTTTTAAATATAAATACAATAACAAATGGTGGTGTAAGCATTTTTTATACAATACATTGACTTTCCATGACAAAATGACACTAAAAATACTACCATTGTTTCTGATTTTTTTTTAAAGTTGTAAATACTGTTTTGTGTTCCAGAAATGTCAACATCCCACAGAAAGAAACGTGTCCATCTTCTTCTCTGAAAAATGTTTTTATTCATTCTGAAATCCAAAAGCAGGAATCAGATGGGTTCTTTAAACCAGTCTGGGTTGCTAGGTGATGGGCTGCTGAGGTTGCTAGGTAACAGGCTGGGCTCTGCCGGGGTTGCTAGGTGATGGGCTGCTGAGGTTGCTAGGTAACAGGCTGGGCTCTGCCGGGGTTGCTAGGTGAGGAGTCATGCCTGCTAATTGGAAACGTTACGTTACAGAGGTTTTTGAAACAGATCATTTTCCAGAAACATGAACTTATTGCCAAAAACTTTCTGGGCGGTGATGTTTTTTAAGCGCTTGGGTTGTTTTCAGAAGCAGTAGAGACTCAAATATAAGCGTAAAGATGTAAATTTTGCATTATGCATCCCCTTTAAAGTATATTTGGCATTTCAGTTATGAAAAAAGCCAAGTGGATTAAGTTGGGGTCTTAAGTATTTGCGGATTCTAGAAATTTATGGACCACAGTCGCTCATGAATTGCTAACACTGCAGGTCCACTGCACCTCTGAATACTACAATTCAGCAGTTCGCTAGCAGTTTCCTGCCACGTCTTTGGGATAAATGTCATCTTTACCCAGAGGGTCAGTATTTAGCAGTTTATAGTGGTAAAGGGAAGTACTGAGTGGCCAATAAATTTAACAAAATATCTTATTATGAAAACACAAGCTCATTCAAAACAGTGTTTCAACAAATCTTCATTCATGTGTGAAACAGATCAACAGTTTCTTATTAGAGCGACTGCTGACATCATCCCATGTTTGTTTGTGCTGGCAGTCACAGCCTGTGCTAGCAAGAGAAAGCGAGAATGTACCGGTCAAACTCACAGACAATAAATTGTTCAGACTACGGAAAACTACAACTCCCATGGTGCCGTGTTTTGGCAGGGTAATGGTAGCTGTCAGGTGTGTGGTGTGAAGGTCGAACGTGAAGGCTGCTGGACTAAAAACATTGACATAGAACAGCTTGTTTCAAGAAAAAAAAATAAGTGAGAGGTTTTTCCTTTAATAAATGAGCTGTCCTTGGCTGTCTGAACTGACAGAGACGGCCTGTTTCTGTTTTCCACGTCAGGATAGAAATAAGAAGAAATCACATGAAGCTAAACTAAATAAATTTAGAGATGGAAAGAATGGGGAAATGAGGAAGGAAAAAAAGACAAGAGTTATCCGCATAAAAAGAGGAAAAACACAACTGGAAGTCTGACCACGGAAGAGAAGGAGAGCTGCTGTTTGACTTTAACAAGGAAAAGAAAAATTGGCACTTTTCCCATTTTAGCAGCTGCAAGGGATTTTTCTTGGAAAATCAGCTGACTTGATGAAAAGACCACTTGTTGCCTGGTGTTGGAATTGTTTCGCCAACTATCTCTGCAAGCCATTATGTTCGAAATTAAAGTAGTCAAACTATTTATCTTCTGCGTCCAGTTTTCGGCGTTCGGCATTTAGCAGAAATGAGAAATTCCTGCAGAGAACTTCGGGTGCAGCCAGCATCTGCACACCAGACAAGAGGGACAATCTGCAACTTTAACGCACACAAGCAGCTTCAATTCAGTTTATTTACAAAGTGCAGAATTTACAACATCTCAAAAGGCTTAGATTAAATGAATCCAATTCAATATGTACCGAGCTAAATCCAATTTCTACTTCAGCACCGGCGATGCTAAGCAGGAAGTCGTAATGTCTCCAAGGTCTGTGATCTTCATAAAACATAAAGCATCATACCGAACTATGAGTAATGAATTACAACTGCTGGCAGAAAGAGAATCAGTACCATCTGGGACGACTTTAACTCAGTTCTTTTAATTTGACTTAAGAAGAAAATCAATTTAGACACAAAGCCATTTTATTTAATAGCTGAACATTCTGGCTTTGTAAAATGTGCTTAGAAAACGAAATTGCTACAATTACTGACATCCTTTATTTTCAGATCAAGTAAGCCGGGTCAGCATAAAGAAGAATCTTGCAGCTTCTCTCCACCTCATTTAACGTGTTTAATGTGTAAGCTTTTGCAGTTTGGTTATTTCTGAAAGCAGACTTATTATCCAAAATTAACATTTCTAATGTTTTTTTTACTTCCATTTGGGCCTCAACTGCTTGTAAAAGCAGCTGAAGCACTAAGAAAAAAACACCACCCAGTTAGTTTCTGGCATTAATTTAATGTTTTTTGGTTTCTGGAAAACAAACCATTTCGAAAGGTCACAATCTACGGGGGACTGCGCTGTTACCTACCAACCCCAGCAAGGGTAGCTCCAGCAGTTTGGTCAGTGAAACAAAACTGTTGCATTAACAGTCTTCACCCCCTTCAAAACAAGAGCATGATACTGAGAGACTACTAAAAGAATTGTTAAGTCAACAACCAAAACTTCAACAGACGTTAAAGTTCATCCAACGGAAAGTCTACAGAACAGCAAAGTAAATTAGCACTTTAGAATTTATTCAGAAAAATTACTGCAAGGCAAAGCTGCGTTCACAACATACGAGTTTTGCGGGTCAAAAGTGTGTCCAACACTCTGAGTTGGATGCACTTTGAAGTCAGCTTCAGCTTTAGACGTGCATCCAACTCAAAATCGCTCCAGACGCGTGTTGGGACGAGCTGTTTTCCGTTTCCTGCATCTCCTGGCAGAACACCAGGAGATGCAGGTGTCCTATGTCACATATCAGAGTCTCTCTGATTGGTTGATGCTCTGCATCAAGCGGCGGAAGTTCAACTCCAGCATCTGATGCGTTGAATGCTCAAATGCTCCAGTCTTGCAGCACTAGACACACAAAACGCGCCGCAACACGTATCCACATAGACTTTGAATGTAAACCAGACGTTTGGTGTGAACGCACCATAAGTGTGCTAAATGTATTCAAAGTTAGCTGTTAAAGACCTAAGCAAAAAATTTGCTCTACTATTATTATGTTAGCGTATTTGTGGAAATGTGGCCACAACTGCATTTCACAATCGTGCATGATTTTGAGTTGGTAACAAAATATGTTGAAGTGTGTAATTGTAACATGAGAAAATGCGGAAAATTGAACAAAAGCAGCGAGGCAGAGGACAATATCAGCTAAAACGATAGACATATCAATCCTAACACTATGCTTCAGCAAATATTAAACAAAAAGAACACGCTCACCTCCTCTGTACGGTTTCCAGGTGTAAAATTTTCCCCTGAAAGGAGTGCTGTCAAAGTCGGAGCACTGGATCTCTCTGAAGTCCCTGGAGCCTGCAGGACACTCCTGCATTGGACACAAATGCACAAATTCTTCTTCATAAGTGCAGATTTTACTCTGCATTCACACACTACATGCAAGCCAAGAATGACAAACTATATTCATAGTATAGATGAATGAGTGCAAACAAATTGACAGTAAAGATTGAGTAAAGCTCACATCAATATTGCAGGACCTGAAGCGCTTTCTTTCTCCCAGACAGTATTTTCCTCCAATGGTTGGCCTGCAGTCAAAAACAGCGGGATCAGTCTGTCACAAATCGACTACGTCAATCCTCCATTACATCAGCACACATACCGACATCAAAGCTCAGTTGTTTCATGGCTCCATCCTTATCTTTAGCTGCACTGATTGGACTTTATTTTAGCTACATCGATTTCACAACAAGTCATCTTTTCTACATTTTAAAAATACATCTGTTTGGTGTGCAGCTGGCAGCTTTCTCAATATTTACATCACTTTTCGGCAGAGTAAGACCAAAGCAAATGTGGAGAATAATAGTCTGAAATGAAACAGGAGAAAATCGTTGGCCCCAGATTTGGGTCAGATCATTCCCCTCTAATAATTTCAAGATGAGCTATCTGCTGACAGGGATTCAAAATATTATACATTCTGCAATGATTTGGACTTTACTGATGCAGAGTGAGAAGAAGCCTTCTTCATGCCGCAACTGAGAGGAAGAATATGTACAAATATAGTGTGTAAAGTGTATAGTGTAAAAGGTTGACCAACACTAGTGAGAGTGAAGGTCTGATGTGGCGTCAGAACAGATGGTCTCTCTGGGAAAGAGGTTTAATCATCTCTGGGTTTAATGACTGCTGGGGCCACAATATGGACGACAAAGCTCTCAATCTACTGGCCTGTCTGCCTTTAACCCACCCATGATCCCATGATCAATAAATGTGGATCATGAACCAGATTTGATGAAACAGCTGAAATCAGATTTCAGAGAGAACAGCTGGGTCAAAAGAGGTAAAGAAAGGAGATTAGTTTTCTGGCCAGTTTGGAGTTGAGGAACCAAGAATCAAAGAGTCAGATGAGCTGAATCAGACATTTGATCAGATGCTCTGAACATCAGTGGATGGATGAATGGATGGATGGCTAAAGAGATGGACTGACAGCTAGATGTTTGCTTTTGTCAGTCAGTCTTTCATTCCTCCAAGCCTTAAAAATTAGATTTTGTTTTTTAATCTCGTTTATTTTGCTTGCTTTCTGCTTCCTTATTTCCACCGTCCTCCTGGTTTATTTTATTCCCTCCTATCACATCACATTTTTCTGCAGCTTCCTCATATCGTATCCTGCACAGTTAGTCCAGGTTTCAGTTTCTTTGTAGTCTCAAAAACTTTGAAATCAAGTCTTTGATTACCTTGTTTTGAGTTTCTGTGACTTATTTGAGAATAATTGAAACGTTTTTTGATTTTTTTACGATGTGTGGATCAATGTAGGCAGTACCTGGGACTATCGCAGTGTCTGACGGAGGAGGAGACTCCACCTCCACAGGTCCTGCTGCACTCCCCCCAGGCGGACCACAGACTCCAGCCTCCATCCACCCCTTCTGGACGAGTCCCATACGCAACACACACCCGTTTGAAGCACCACTGCAGCACACAGGTTAAAAAATTATAAAATATTAATACACAGTGATGTATTTGCAAACACTCATCTAGTATTCTTACATTATTATGCCATTACCATTACATTACTTGGAAATGGCCTTAAAACAACAATATTATCATTTATTCTAACTTCTGGAATAATTTATTGTCTAATAAAATTTGTTATATTGACAGGCCTCAATCTGGCTTTTCGTTATTTCTTCCACTTTGTGCTCCAATTTACCACAACAACTGACCTTAATGAATGAAACTTTAGGCCAGAAACATTTTTTTTTTATTCCTGCAACAACAAGCCCAAGTGAAATTTTTAAACTCTACGTTTTTTTATCTTGAGGTTAAATAGAAAAACAGATGAAATGTTTAAATACTGGATTATTATTTTCAGAGCTCACCCCTTTCTCTATGGTGTTAGTCTGACAGATGGTTCCCTCTGCTGCAGGTATACTGCTGGTGATGCAGCGGTTGCTCTTACTCATGCACCAAAGTTCGCTGCAGACTTCCTGTATGCGTCAGACAGAGAAAAATAAAACCATCGGCGAAGCCGACAGACACAAAAGTGAGGATATGAGAAATATTATTGGTCTTATTTATGATCAACAGGCAGAAACTGTCATTCACCTTCACCTCTTTTCCCTCCAGAGCCATCAACACTTTAGGGCAATGTTTTATTGTGTACATGCGCTGAGTACATAGTATCTAAAACAATGAGTCTATAAAGCCGCACGCTGTTCCAGATGTCCGTTCACTCTGAAGGCGGCCTCGTAAAATCCTGACTATGCAATAAAAAGAACGCTGTCCCGTGAAAGTATTGCAAGATGTGTTACATATTACAGATTTGAAGATGAGAGTCCGAGCAAGATGAATCAAGCGTGAGAAGCTGAGCCGAATCTTTTTCTTTTAGTTCATTTTAATAAACAGCTAAAGGGAAGATGACATAAAAACAAGAGTTTGTGGGAAAATGATGCACAAGTTTATGCAAGAAGATATCAATAAATCAAGATGTCATCAGAGAAGTAGTTTATTGTAGAAAGTAAATAAAAGAAAACTGAAGCCCATACACACTTGCTAAATTTTGATGCACACAGATTGATATTTAATAAATTTATGAAGTTAAGTTTTCAACTATAAAACTATTGAAAAGAAAAGTTCTGCTCCAGAAATTAGGAAAATAACTAAAAGTTGACCTATTATGCTTACTTGCACATCTTAGGATTTGTCTATGTTTTTCACAAAATCCTTCTTAGACAATGAGATTTTAGTCTGGTCAGTTTTAGGGCATCTTGTCACTTTAAGTCCAAATAAGCTGCTGCTGGCCACACCCATTACACCCATCAAAATGGCTGCAACAGATGCAGAATTATACAACTGCACATCTTTGAAAATGAGAAGTGAAGCTTCCTGATCAACCAACAAGAGTGCTGCAAGGATGGTAAGTCAACAACAAAACACTTCATCTTTTCCAGCAGCCATTGTACTTTCCAATACAGCTTGGGTTGCTAGGTGCAGTGAGACTCAACAACGAAATGTTTTATTTTCCAGACACCAAAATAACATTAAATGATTTCCAAAACACAGCTGGGTGGAGTTTTTCAATAATTGAATTGTTTTTCGGAGAGGTAGCAACCAAACTATAAATATAAAAATGTGAATTTTGCATAATCAATCCCCTTTAAGATCAATATAACGGCCAACCAGGGACCAGACTGCTGATTTGTCCAGTGGAAGGTCATTGACATCCTCAACAAGTAAGGTAAGTCACAAAAAAAAATTGTAATTTCGAAAGAGGCCTGGTTTATCCAAAACTCTGGTGGAAAAGGGATAAACAAATTACTGGGATAACAGAAGTCTTGAGAGTATTATGAGGAAGGGCGTTTAGGGGAGATTTAGAAGCCGTTAACTGCAGCTGGAGTAGTGATCTGCTGTGTTTTATGAAGTCCAAAGTCAGACCAGCTGTCTACTGACTTAAAAAGTATGTGAGTAAACTACAGCTGCAACTAAATTATTTCAGTAACAGAATATTCTGACAATCGGACAAAAATAATTGGAACATTTAGAAGATTTATTCCTTTGTGAAAAAAAGAAAATAAACAACATAACACTTCTTCAGTGAGCAGTAAAAAAAAATAAAAAATTTACATGTGAAACACAACAGACTGAAAGCAGTCATGCAGCGTGATGTCGCTTCTATTTAGATAATTTGGCAGTAAAAGTGGTTGTAGGGTGCTGCATGGTCAGCTGCACAAAAAGACGAGGATAAAAATCAAACGTGTCATTTTATTTCATAAGGTTTCATGAGGAAAGATAGGGCGGCGATGGATAGCAGCTGTTAAGCATAATGACCGTTATGATCAATTTTCAGCGGACAAGAGGTATGAGACGGTTTCTAATCTCGCTGCTTCCAACTTTTATAAATATCGCCGCCTATGAGCCCCAAGCAGGCGTGTTACGTTCACAGACAATTTAGCTCGACTCGAACAAAAAGCCATGAATAAACTGAAACAACCAACTTTAACGTCATGGAGCCTCAAATGATCAAGTGACGTAGATGCAAATGGTCAATATTCCAGTTAACAATTAATCAATTAATTAATTATTGATGATGACTTCAATAATTATAACCAGTGATGATTAAATAAAACTTAGAAATGAATAAAAGTAGGTTATATTTGTGTGCTCACCGCATATTTGCACTGCCGGGATCGGATGCCGTACTGGAAGCGGCACTGCTCGTCTGCGTCGTAGGCCTGACCCGGGGCGGTGGTGGGGTAAACAAACTCCTGCTTTGGCGGCATGTTGTTCAGACAGGAGCCCAGACCTGAGCTGAAGCACATCGAACAGAGGAGAAAAATATAAATACTAATCGTAAAATAAAGACCAAAGCAGCTGATGTTTGGTTCCGATGTGACATTTTATTAAAAGCAGGAGCAGTCTGAATATGTAAACCATCAAACATGTTCTTACATTTTTTCCTGCACTCCAGTAATTGGCTATTTATTTCTAGGAAGGAGATATCTGATGGGCTCACTCACTCCAGGAAGCTGGTGATGTAATCCCGGCTGCAGGCCGACCAGATGAACGGGTTTGTCTTCATGGTGATGTGGTCAGCCATCAGCTTGGCGGTCTCCTGGCTGCGCGGCCTGCAGGCGTTCCCCATCCCGTCATGGTTCATCCCAAATCTAAAGCCCATGATCACACAGGGACAAGACTTTGAGGCCAAGCAGACGGCTAATAATCCCTGGAGCAGCAACGGGGAGAAAAACGGCCTCTGTGGATAACCAAGAGGAACTCCAAGAACATTAGTGTCAAAAATTAAACTCTTCAACTTTGACATTGCACCAAAAGTGAACAAAACAGAATATTAAACATCTTCTGTTGGAAAGACTAAGCATTGGCCTGCAAACTATTCCTACCATTTGCACATTACAAACACTAACCTGTATAAAAAAAGGTCATTTTTAAATCCATCCATAGATGTCCATTGTTACTTCGTCTACGTTTTTACATTTTTCTTCTGCAGACGAGGATCGTTTTGGGGTCAAAAACCCAGAAGATTTGTACAACTTGTATTTAACAAATTGAATGATCAACCATGTATAAAATCTGATTTCCGCAAAGAAGTAAGCATCAAAACCTGCAGTGTGAACATAGACTCAATCTACATTATTGCTGAAAGCGGGAAAGTTTAACGCCTTTTTAGATTAAAAAATCAAAACCCCAAATTTTAAAGAAGACATGGAGCGCTGTTCAGCCTTCGATGAGAAAAATGAAAATCCACGAGCTAACCGTTACGGAAGAGGGGAAACAAAAATGTGTTTCTGAAAGAAAGCTGGAAGAAGCAATGCAGAGGTTCTGGTCCGATAAAACCAAAACCTTTTGGACTAGGTGTAATGGAAAACTAACAATGTGCATCATGACTTAAAAATTTTTGTTAGCAGACACTCTCGATCCAATCCGACAGAGACTGAACAAAAACAAACTGGTGTTACTGAACTGAAAGTTATTGACTCATACGGTTAAACATAAAAGCCTAAACAGATGACAATAATTAGTTATATAAATATCTCTAAATTCAGTTAAAGATGTATTGGCCATTATGATTTTATTTTAATTAAACAATCAAATGTTGCGTTTGACGTCCAATTATACAACACATCAAACACAACAATGATAATGAATAATCTGATTTTAGATTTGCATTCCACAAAGGAAAACTACACAATTTTACCTTTTTCATGTTCAGCATCAAACGCTCAAGAATCTGTTTAACGCATTGGACCAGGTGATGGATCCACCATCTGTTTCAATACGTCTTAATGTGGTTTGCTAACACACGTGAACAGGGAAATTAAACTTGCGAGCAGTAAAAATTTAAGTAAAATAAAGCCGAGTTTACAGGCTGAGAGAAGAGATGTTATTTAGGATGTATTACCAACAGATGTGGAGAAAATTGTTGGCACTCAAAAACTAAAAGTCAATGTTTATTGCAGTAAACCCTGGAAATTAGAGGGAAAAAAACATTTGATTTGATTTGATTACATTTACATATTAGGAGGTGTTAGACCTGCAATCACAGATGGAACCATGAACAAAGCACTTCAGCAGACGGACAAGCACCAGCTATTATTTGTTAGCTTAAGCTTATGTAACATTGGTTAAGCAGAAGAAAATGCTGGAAAGGAGAATAAATATAAAGCTTTTACAATGACCTAATCAAAGTCTAAATTTAAATCAAATCAATCAGTAGTGACATGACCATAAACAAACCTTTTAGTTATTGAAAAACATTCAACATGGCTAATTGCAGTAATTTACACAGACACAACTTGTAGATTTAGATTTATTAAGAGTTTTGTTCACCACAAAGTAGTGGATGCTAATGTTAGCTGATGGCAGATAAATGTTTTCATGGAACTGAAAGTTGTTGCTCCGCCTTTAGGACATTGATCATCGTACAGGAGGCAACAGCTTTGACCCTCCTAGCTCCGATTTGTTGTTTTTGACAAGGAGCCGGGTCTGATTGCGGTCTGAATTTAACAGGTTAAAGTTTACGTTAATATGAATACATAAACAAACCTTCATGTAACATTTTAAGTAAAATATCCAGGTTTATTAATACAAAATAAACAATAAGAATGTAATGTTTTCTACATCTTTAATGCAAACTCAATCTAATCAAGTGAGAGTAGCAATAATAGTATTGCTCAAGTGAAAGAAAAAAGTAAGGCGCAGTAAAAGTTTGAATAACAACAAAGCTAGTATCCTATTCTTGCTAACAAGCTTAATATTTTTAGCATCAGCTTGTCATCATTTAGCTAACATTACCTGCATTTAACCACATTAAATCAGAGACAACGGGCACAGATAACAGGAGTGCGGGAGATAGGATAGGAATAATAGACAGATGACCACTCTGCCGTAAAAATAAAAAACAACTTCTAGTGAGTTTTAATAAATATGGAAGCAACATATTTTGTTACATACACCCAGAACAAAATAAAAACCATTTTCAGATCAATGAGTGACTTACGTGTGACCGATCTCGTGGGCGATGGTGAAGGCTGTTCCCAGACCGATGTCCTCGTTGATGCTGCAGCTCCTCTCTGGCTCACACATCCCTCCCACCGGAGCCAGACCTGACAAACATCAACATGGATTCAGAAACATTGATTCTGTGCACAATGAATCTCACTCCGCATGCACATCACATCTTCATGTTAATTACAGTCACAGATCATTTCTGCCGACAATTAACTTTAATTTATGAGTCAAACCTAGCATGCTTTACGGGTCAGAGTTGGGCTAATGTTGTGGTGATGTGGTGCTCAGTGTACCCCGCAAGAGGCACAGCCAGTGCTCTATGTCACTGTGGATTATGAATGGGTGCAGATCGTACATCTGTGAGTGAATGTTACCTAGAGTTTCACAGGGCTTGTTTTTCTGGATGCAGATGTCGTACCTGGAGACGAGACAGAACAGTTATTTAAAAATGTGCAGTTTTTTGGGCGGAGGCATTGCTTGTTCCTGCTTGTTCTCACAGAACACAGATGATTTCAAAGATCTGTTGAGAAAGGAAATGCATTTTCTTTAATGTATTCGTGAGACTGTGGAAAAACAGTTTCTCAGACAACAACTGAGAGTTTTTTTCTGATTAATTTGGATCAGCCAATTTCTGTGAAACACCTGCAATTTTCCTCAGAGATTAAGAAAAAACAAACACATGCTGCTATGTTTTGGATAGCTTTTTGCGGTCTCATTCTTGCCAACTGTTTTCCCTTTTATTTGCAGAGTTGCTTTAATTCACTAACATTAGCAAGTTTTTAGCATGCAAACCTTGTTTAAAGTCAGACCACAGCACTTAATGCAGATTTAACTAAAAACCTTTACTTAATACTGTTTTGTGAGACACCGAAAAGTGGACTCAGATTATTGTCCTGTTGCAAAACCCAAGCTTAAGGTCACATATCGACGACAAGACACTATTCTTTGAGTTATACATTTAACAAACAGAATTTGTGATTCCATCAGTTATGGGAAGAGGCAACAAAACAGCCAAAATACTGCCACCATCATCCTTACCAGAGACACAATTATAGGTTGCGCTCTGAAATTTTGTACGTTAAAAAAGAAAAGTTTTTAAGATAATAAAATCATGTAATCATTGAATCATCAAAATGAACCTGCTGAAGGGCAGTAATATGTTTTCCAGGAATACATATTACTGCCCCTTTTACTTTACTGTGCACTTTACTGTGCTATTTTATAGCACAGTAAAGTAACTATTCTACCTTGAGTTGTTATAAAACTGTTGTTTGTGTAAAATATGACTTAAGAGGAATTTGACTTTGTAATTTAACGCCTTGAAATGAGGCATGTCTCTTTACAAAGTAGCTCCTATAATGACCTCAGCAGATGCACCAGGTGTTTGCTAATTGCTGCTGGCTAGTCTGTAGGAGTTGAGTGTTTGGAAACAAAAGCTTCAAGGAAAAGCTGTGTCTCAAAGGCGGAGATTGAAGGCTTTCTCAAACATACATGGAAGGATCAAGGCAACACCCCAGGTATGTTTTTGATGAGGGAATAACATAATAAACATGAAGTAAATCTCATGTTTAAAGCCCTGGTTGGTTCGTGAATCAAGAATGGCTCCGTTTCACGTTTCCTTCTGTGTTTGTCTTGCATTACCTGGTGATGAGCACGGCGGTGTCGTGGTGAGCGATGCCGTTGTCCGGGATGGCGTTCCCGTAGCTGCTGCTGCGGTGCTGGATGGTTTTCTGCCACTTACAGAAACTGTCCAAAGACTTCCCAGCATGATGGTTGATCTCCAGTGTTGGCTGGAAGAGAAGAAAGGAGGGAAACGCAAACTCAGAGGCATGTCTGGAAAAATAAAGTTATGCATTTTGTTTTGTTAAATGCAAAACAGTTGCTCTGTTCTGAGGTTATTTTCCCCTCACACTATGTTAGTCTTTCCTATCTGTTAAAAGTGTGTAGATTCGCCGCATTATGTGGGAGCTGAGGGAGTGCTCTTCTGGCCACAGCTGGCGAGAATTCGTAACCAAGGAATGCATGCGGTGACATAACTGGTAATTGTCTCATCCCACAGTCCCTCATCTCTGGGCCCACTCATGGCATCGTTTTCCCTTTCCAGGCACAGCTTTGACTTTCTTTTCAGACTTGGAAACCTCTTGCAGAAACCCCTGCTCTGCTTCTGCAGAGCAAAACTGGTGAACCCGCTCTGCCCCCTCACAGAAAAACTAATACACCGCTAATGAGACTAACATTTACATGTTCGCTCATTTAGATAACAAACACATCCGGGCGGGAGGCTCCAGAGATTATTTTAAGGCACGATGAATCATAAATGTTCCTTAACAAGACAGCGAAGGAGGAAACCTCAAAGCCACTGCGTAATACCCGAAGAAGCGGGCCGAGGAGTCCCACCACATGCTGTTAATGGCGAGCTAATACAGTCATTTACAAGGCAGGCAGGTGGTTCAGTCATCTCCAGAGCTACACTGGTAAGGTCATGGACTTTTTATGAGCTGAACTCCTGCCCTGTGGTCAGGTGGGGGACTCTGGCCGCCGGTCTCTGGCTTACATCATGCAAGCAGCTCAGTGAGGCGGTTTTAGTCCTGCTGCTTCTTTTGGAGGTGAATGCTGACCTCAGCAGGATTAAAAATCAAGAACATGCTTTCCTTGGTAACATTTTTAGTTTACATTCAACTCTAAAATCAGCTTCTGCAAACGCGGAACCTTGAAAAAGCAAGCATTTCACGATTTCCTCTGGAAAAGTGTAGTTGGTCAAATTTCTAGTACAAATTTTTTACAGTTGAGAAAAATCTAAACAAACCTACAAATAAATTCTCAGCGACATGTAGAAGCTGGTTTTAAGTCAATGAGTCCTTAATATTGAAGAAAAAAAGATCCAGTCTGTTTTTAGCAATAAATTAATGTTTTTTGGTGCCTGAAAACTGACCTGTTTCAAAAACCTTCCACATATAACGTCACAAGTCACCGAGCAACCTCAGGCAAAGTCCAACCCAAGATGAGTTCCAGAACATTTTGTCAGCTGGTTTTTCCGCTTCAATGGCTGCTGGAAAACATGAGTGCTTTGTTGTTGTCTTACCATTCAGAAACCATTTGCTGCATTGTTGTTTGTTGTGCAGGAGGCTCTACGTTTGCTTTTTAAAGATATATGGTTGTATCTGTTTGCAGCCATTTTTATGTGCAAGTGGAAATATTGACTTGGGGGAGAGTGGCCAGCAGCGGCTTATTTAGATTTAAAGTGACAGAACAGTTTGCTCTGAAAGGAGCTCAAAATAGGCAGAACTGAGCACACTAAAATCTCATCATCTGAGAATGATCTGGTACAAAAAAATGTGCTGAACATGTTTTGTGTAGCCCATAGATCAATTCTAACCTGTTTAAAAAAGCATAAAACAAAGTGAGGCTGTTAGAAGGCAAAATACAGAGGAACATGAGATTCCTGTAGCACAGAGAGTATGCGGTACAGCGTATTTAAATCCATCTCGTAGATGTTCTACGTCCGGAGAAAGCGTCAGAGAGCTGCCTGTTTACCACAGCAACATACACGACAGTCACAAGGCAGCTCTGTGTGACAGGTACAAAACTCTCCTCACTGCCCGACTTTTCCCACCTCCGTTCAATCATCTCTCCCTCTCTACTTACCCTCCTTACCTCCTCTCATTCCCGTCACTACAGCAGTCATTCATAACAGCCACACACACACACACACACACACGCGAAGGTCGCTGGGTTGGGTGGAGGAAACAACACTTAAGCTACTAATTTACACAGAGATTTATGAGGACAAACTCAGAGAGAGACATGCAGCTGTTGACCGACCTGGTCTTCCATGAGCAGGATGAGTCGTGTCACCACGATGTTGACTGCATTCCCCAGACTAGAATCATGGAACAGTTTGGCAACCTGACCTCCAGGGAAACAAGAAAAGACCAGTCTTAAAAACGGCCGACGCACTGGCAGACCTGAGCGCAGCTCAGGCCAGACAACACTGGGACAGAAAATAGCGACAAAATAGTCCACTTCATACTAGGACTGAAATGATTAATCGGTTTAATCACGATCAATCGATTATTGAAATCATCGTCAACGCATTTAGTAATCGACTAATCATTAACTGGAATATACATACTCTAACAAAATGGTGATTTTCTGAAAAAACAACACAATCAGAGCCGAGTCTGTACAAATATATAAAGTATATATAAGCATAATATAAGATAAAAATAAAAAAACAACTTCTTTGTAAAAATATCTTACCCATAATTTCTCAAGTGGATCAGTTTTAAATTCCCTCAATTCAAACAATTCAATAATTTTTTTAAAAAATAAGACAATAAAGCATTCCTTCAGTGAACTTTTCGTCAGTTGTAGCAAAGGATGAATCTGCAGCTAAAAACATACATAAAACATACATTTTCTCACCAATTACTGCAAGCAAAACAAACATTAGAGACTAACAAACAGAGGTATTGATCTACAAAATAACAAATAACCAATCAGACAAGAGAATGAATAACAAAAATAAAGTAAACAAATAAAAGCACATTAAAATTGATACATTTAGGACAAACACAAAAGGGAACTTAAACAAATGGTGTTACAAAATATTTTTGTACAGTTTTGGTTTACTTACAGTGTGTTGTTCTTTCAGCAAATGGCCTTTTTAACTGCAGTTAATGATTATTGATAATTGATTATAATAACAAAACTTATTATTGTAACAAATTTGAGAAATGTGTTTGAGAAATTGTTTCAGAAGTTATTGTGATAAGGAAAATGTAGTTTTGAGACCCTTTTTAAGCAATGTGATGATAAAAATAACAATGAACACATTCTCCAGGATCCGTAAACTTTAAATTTTAATGGACATTCAACGATGGAACAGGAAGATATTTTAAATATCTAAAATAAATAAACAAAATGACAAATAAAATTAATTTTGAAGTCTTTGTAAACAAAATTGTTCTTCAAAAAATGGGATAGATGAGGCCAAAGCACCAAACCGAAAACTTTTATCATCCAGTTTTTGGTAGAACGAAAGACAAGAAAATAAAAGAGATAAATGAAAATTATTGAGTTTGTTTTCATTTATTGTGCGATGAATTGATTTACTGATTATTGTGACAGGCCTAATTGACGATTATTCAATATTCATTGCGATTAATCTGATTAGGTAATCTTTTCATGCCTTTTTTTTCATCTGACCAAAATGTCGTCTTCCACAACTTTCCTGTGGAAAGATGCAGCTTTTGGCAGAACTGCATGGAAGTTTTCTGCTTTTCGCTCTTCCCAAAACTTAAATGCATCAATAAATGCTCCCATCTGAGCCTTGGATCTTTGCAGCTCCTCCAGAGTAACCATAGCTAACATGTCTAATATGGCCCTTCCTCTTCATGAAGCTGTTTGTTATCTAATGTTTGAATTTACTTTTCATGTCAGGTGTTTAAATTACATTTTACATTAATCTTCTACTTTCTGTTCCCATTAAAATACATTAAAGTTTGTGGTTTAATGTGGAAATAAAAAGTTCACAAACAACCTCCAACCAAACATTTCCTGTAAACAGACTCTTCTGCCTGCAACTAAAGTAATAAGTGGCACCGAAGCTTCACTCTGACCATACTGTCTGATTACGGTTAGTCTTTCTCTAAATTAAGTTCCATTTTTTGATGTTGTCTGGACGTTTTTTTATTTGAAGTCTTTCATTAAATACATTCCCAGCATGTGAGTGTCTGTGGTTTCAGAGTTTAGCACGAGAAGATCCTCAATAAAACAAAAAGCAGGCAACTTGAAACTGGTTTCCCCGGGGAGGAAGAACGCACTAAATACTGGCTTTGCTTCTTTCCTGTTATTTAAAAAAAATAATACTGTATAGTTTTATAGCTAATTTAATTCAGTTCATGAAATGTTTTGATAGAAACATGATGGAAAGGAAGGACATCCTCTTTTATTTGGAGTGTTTCACATTTAACAATATGATAAATATGATGTAGATTCTAAACTTTGACTCTGTCATTATCTACTGACAAAGTGTGAAGCCAAAGCAAAATAAAAAATTAGAAAATAACAATAAAAGCAGCTTGTAGAGCAAATCTTATCAGCATTAAGAGTCATTTTCTCCAAGACTCAGTCGCTCACATCATTGTGAATTAATTATCGCACTCTAAGGAGATTTGCATGTCCTGTGCTTTCATGACAGCCCAAATCATCACCCTCCCACACCGTGCTTGACATGCTTTCATTGGGGCAAAATTTCCACTGTCTACTGTTAGAAAACTGCTAAAAACTACTGATTTTATTGGGAAGATCACACTGTTGATAGTTAATTAAGAACCTTATTCAAGAAAATGTAATTGAGTAAATGAATCGTTCACTGGTTGCAATGGCTGCCTGCGTTAATCTTGCTGTTTCAATATTACCTAGCATGTTGTCAGTCAGTGTACTACAACTGTTTATCACAACGTGATAAAATAAGTTATTCTACCAAATTGACATTAGTGAATGAGATGTATCTTAAAGACCAACAAGCATTAAATGCAGGTGAGTTTAAAAATGTGATAAATGAGAGCAAATGTCCATTGAATTAGCTTGCATATCTGTGAATCTTTTGTGTTGTGACACTTACAATATTCATGACGGCCAGGATGTACTGCTCGATGTCCCTGCGACCGTGGTATCCCACCATCATCTTGTCGGCCACCACCAGCGTCTCCACGTAGCGCTCCTGACTGACCGAGCGCTTCAGCGGCAGCTGGCCGCGGCCGACGTGGTGAGGCGGCGTCTTCAGGGTCCGCTGCCACCACGACGCGCCTTTCATTGGCTTCTCGTCTGAGGTAAACCACACACATTCATGATTTCTAGAGTATATTGTGGAAATAAACCCAAAAAAGGCAGAAGAGTAGAAGGTTCTCCACCCAGGTACTTTAATAAAAATAAGAAAAAAACATTTTCTCAGCAAGGCCTTGTTTACTAAACAACACCAAAATGCAAATTTTCTCACCAATGACGCCGCAGGAGCGGCCCTTGTACTGATAGCGCAGTGATGAGCGTTTGTACACCACATGGGGGCGCCCTTCTGTCCTCTCCCCCCTCTCTGTCCGGGTTTGGTTATCTGGTGAGACAAGCGGTTCAATGAGGTACTCCTCTCCCCCTGCAACAATCACCCCCTGCTGTGAGACACAGATAAGGAGAGCAAAGAGGTAAAACAAAGCAGGATAACATGGAAGCCTGCAATAAGAACCTGAAATGTTTACTGCTAAATAGAGCTAGACAATGAATAAACAACAATATATATGGTGATGGACACGAGGTCAATATCAATCGATGATACGCCTGATACAATATCCAATAATTTCAATTAACTCCGATCCAGAACTGCACAACATCCTGGGTGATGTGGGCAAAGGAAAGACTTTAGCCAAAGCTAGCTAAGAAAAGTTGATGGAATCAACCAACTCTCTCTCTTTGGTTTCACCACTGTGCCTCATAACTGCTTAAATATGAAAAACAACGCCGTGGAGTGAAAACTGAGGATAAAACAGGAAAGATCACACCAAAAGTTTGGCTGCATTTCAGATATTTAAAAAAACAAAAACTAATCAATAATTATAAATATTGACTGATATGACACGCTTATATTGTTTTCCAGCCACCATTTATCCGCCATCATCAGTGGCCATGCTAACTAGCCTGAGCATTTGTGCTAGGCTAGTACTAAATGCAGCATAGCAGAGAGCAAAGGGCTGAGCATCGCCACACGGAGGGGTGATTGACAGCACTAAGACCCACCTCCTGGCTTCGATTGGTTGATTCTAGATAGCAAACTGTCACAACACAGCGTATGTGAAACAATATTCTCCATAAAAGTTACATACTGCAGCTTTAATAGCCTACCTTAAATAAAAGTTTTAATGAATGAAAAATAGAGGATAATTATCTGTGAATGGGTAGTAATTTTTTGTTACCACGGTCTGAAAAGGGCTACATAACTAATCATAACATATGTTTCATATTTAGAGTGGTCCATATTTTGAGAGAGTGATGCACGGTGTCCCATCCCCTCCCACGGAGAAACGCTGGACTTGTTTGAGCAGAGGATCAGGAACACACAAGAGAGGATGAAAGGGTGAATGAGAGCGAGAAAAATGAGTGAGTGTGACAGAGAGCGATACACTAACACTTCCTTTTGATTCTGCTCAGATGTGTCGGCCCCGCTTAGAGCGAGTGTCTCCCCATCGACTCGCCGCGGCGACGTTCAAAGCGCCTTTTAAATCCCATAATGAGGTTAGTGACGCTCCCTCGGACACACAGCGGGCTCACTGGTGAATGCCCTCATGCTGGTCCGAACCAACACTAATTACGTGTGAAGCTTTTTAACGCTTTCTGAGCACGTCTGAAACACTATTGTGGGCCCTGCTGTTTTGTAGTGAGAGGATACGCGGCGGGTAGAGCAGAGTGCGTTGATGCATCACGATTGAGAATCGCCGGTCAAAGGGTTTGGATGAGCAGAAACTTGGAAGCATCATCAAACAGATGGCGGCGATCTGTTGTGATTCGAAGAGATGACCTCATGAGAAAACTCTGAATGAAAGGGAATCTGTGCTTCGATACAGTAAGCGCTAAACAAGTCTAAACAACTCATCATCTCATGTTTTCTACACTGAAAAACATTACTCTGTGGTGAGGTAGGTTTGACATCACTGAATCCGTGTTCACAACCAAAACATCCCTGATTAGAAAAATGTTTCTAGAGAAACTAAAAAAGCAAAATAAAATCACTTTTCAGATTAGTTTAACTTTTATTTCAGCGTTTTTTTAAGTGGCACATCACTAAAAAAGTGTTTATTCTGACCATGATTTCGTTCTAAACAATAAATTATTCACAGGATAATATAGGAGGTAAAAATTTGAGCAAGATTTTTCAAAGAACGCTTTAAAATTCAAAGAAAATGTAATGCAGAAAATTACCAAAACTACACAGAAGAAAGAAGACATCTCCAACTTAAAAAAGTAAAAAGTAACTGAATGAAGTTGGTCAAACTTACTTTATTCACATTTGTTAAACCGGACAATTTATTTACTTAATTAACTAAACTTAATTTGATTACCGATTAATTAAATGTATTAAATTCAATGACAGGCTCTCTTTTTGTCAGCGAGTTTAGGAGATTAAACCTTAACATGTATGAAAAGATGACAGAACAACCTGGACTAGAGTAACCTTACTTACTGTTTACTTTTCATTGTTTTTCAAAGTAAATGAATCATTTAAAAATATGAAATAAGAGTCTTTTGAATCATGCCCACTGTGACAGGAAGACGCTACCAGATGGCGGCAGCCAGTCATCTGTGACTGTTTGGATATTTATATATCCAAACAGATTATATAGATTATATATAACTGGGAAAATAAAGACATTCAAGATCTTATAAAGAAAGGAAAGAAAGTCAGATTTGTATTGTATTTAATACAAAAAATGTCTTTGAAGTTGACAAAGCAAAGGAAAACAGAAAATGAATCTAGATGTTTTACGACATTTTCTTGCCAACTTGTAAATCTACAACAGTAGGAATCACATTCTTCTCTATATTTGGTCATTTCTCTGTGGGAATAAAACCCAGAGATTAGACAAATGCCTCCTTTAAAGTACTTATTTTCAGATAAGATTCAACAAAACTGCACAAAGATACCATAGGAGAGCAGTTTGGGACTTAAACAGAACCTATTATGCAAATTTCACATTTTGCACTTTTTTATGCTTCCATTTGGGCCTCAACTGTTCAAGCGGTCAAAAAACCCAAACAAGCATTTTTGACAATAAGTTAATGTTTTAAAAATCTAATGAAGGTGGGACTGCGTCATTACCTAGCAACTCAAGCTGACTTCCAGAACATTTGTTCAGCTGGTTTTACCTCTGCTAGAAAAGATTAGGTGACAAGTGACAAGACGCCCTAAAACATCTCATTCTGAAAGGGGATCGAAATAGACAGGAATGACAGAACTAAAATTTCATAATTTAAGAATGATTTTGTGCTAAAAATGTAAGAAACATGTTCTCTATAGGTCATAGACCAAAGCATAGCAAGTCAGCTTTAAGTTTATAAGAGGATTGAGGTGTGTTCAAATGTCCTGATTATAGGTAGGAATCAAGAGGTTCTGATTCAGCAGCAGCAGCAGCAGGGTATGGGTCTTACCAGGCCGTTGCAGTTGCTCAGGGCCACTTTGCTGGAGTGCGGCTGGTCCTGGAGGTGACCCGTGTAATGACAATGGGGAGAGTACGGGTGACTCCAGGCTAGTTGGCCCCTCTTCCAGTACTCCACCCTAAACTGGCGGGACAGCAGGCCTCCCTGCAGCGTCAGGTTCAGCAGGAAGTTGTTCTGCGACGTGGACAGCTGGTAGAAGAGCTAAGAGACGAAGGAGGAGGAGACGTGAGAGCCGTAAAACGCTTGGATCGGTCTGAAAATGATCCACTGCGGAGTCTGAAAAAGCATAATACAGAGTCAGGCAGCCTGTCTTCAGTGCTTCGTCGTCTTCTTTGGTGGTATTTTGTCCTGTTAGTGTCCAGCATCTCGCCAACTGGTCCTACACGTACTGGGATGGCGATCTCATACTGGCCTAGGGTGGACAGGAAAGCAGCTGTGGACGTAGAAAACAAAGAAGGGATAAAAATATCAAAGTTAAACAAAATGTCCATCCATCAAAATTCAGTTTAATCAGTGAGCGATTCTGTATTTGCAACAAGCTGGGAAAGAGAATCAGACCTTCTGGTTCTCCACTAAAAAGCCCCAACTTACTACAACCACTCTCCATTCATGAGGCCAAATGGGGGTTGCCATGGCTACCTTGAAATTGTATACTTCCTGTCCGTCTTCCTGTCGGAGATTTAATGTAAAAACGCACAGAATGAAAAGGCAGTACAGCATCTTACAAAAATATTCACAGTGTTTTAACTTTCTTGTGTTTTGTTACTTTAGGATGAAAATACTCTGTTTGTTTCACTGGAGTTTATGATAAACCAACATAAATTAGCACAAAGAGGAAGTGCAGTTAAAGTTGCAATTCATTTCGTCTCATATTTATTTATGTCGCCACCAGCATTCATATCTAAAGACTCAAATTGAGGTTGAGCTCAGACAGACTAGATAGAGAGAAAGTTGTTCCACAAGTTCTGAGTTGGTTTTAAGTCTGGACTTTGACTGGACCATTCTAGCGAGAATATGCAGAGTTTTCCCCTAATGAAGGTGTTCACCCCTAGTTTTCTATGGTGGCCAAATTTGCACAACTAAAGATTGATTTGTCAACATACTTTACCACCTGAGCTGCATACTTTATCTCTGCAGCTCCTCTTACCATGAGTTTCTTGTCTGCTTCTCTGATTATTCTTTATCTTTCTTGGATTTTATTGCCATTTAGGGAAGCTGGAAAAAGGAAAAGTATGTAAAAGTAGAGGAGAAAGTGAAAGTAAGAAAGCAAGAGTAAAGAAAGGATAGTAGAAAGTAAAAATAAGTAAGAAGGTAAGGAAAAGTGAGTGAAAGTAAGCAAAAAGAAGAGCAAATGTAAGTGAGGAGGATCGTATGTAAAAAAGCAAATGTGAGTAAGTAGAAGCAATATATGAAGTAAAATGAAGTAGGTCAGAATAATAACTAAATGTAAAAGTGAAGAGATAAAGACAAAAGAAATTAAGTATGAAAAATTTTTAAAACTAAGTCGAGTACAAATAAGAAAAAAGTAGATAAAGTAGGAATGGAAAGGTACAGAAGTAACAATAAAAAAGAAAAGCAAAAATACATAAAATGTTAGTAAAAGTGAGCGAAAGTAAAAGTTAGAAAGAACATCTGAGCTCTTTTTCCAGAGCTCAGATTATTTATATGTATATATAAATATTTATATGTAAACATATAAATAATCTGAGATGTATATAAACAAGCAAAAATACATAAGTACAAATAAGACAAAGTAAAAATAATAAAGTAGATAGCAGTAAGTAGGAAAGAAAATAAATAAATATATATGAGGAAAGTAAAACACGGTAAGAAAATGTAGTTTGCTTTTAAAAATCCCACAGAACATCATAAAGGTTACAAACGTTGGAGCTGTAATCCTGAAACTGTCACAAACCACAACAAGGTGGCAACAGCATCATCTCTGCAGCACAGGAAAAACTCCTGCAGAGAAAACAACAAGGGCTCTGTTATAATAACACATGAAAGAAATGCAAATTACTGAGACCTCACACAGAATAACGAAGACCACCAACACAAATTAGTCTACTGTATCAATAAAACACCAGTAGAGTGTTTTTTTAACAGCTACTGCAGGCTTTTTCTCCACAGGGTTTCCCATCAACTTCCTCTGGCTCACACACAGTCTCTCCAGACCACCAGCACCTACTGTATGTCGCTTTAATGACTTGATTTAGACGTTTTAAACAGACTGTTTAACATTGAAACGTTACGAGATCACAACGAACTTCACTGCAGACAGGACGACTGCGGGAACTAATTTATGCGTCTCTGGCAGTTTGTTGTTTCTGAGTGAAAAAAAGTTGTGCAAGAAGCAAACGTGTTGCATTTAGAATAAAATACAAGGGTAACTTTTCTGATAAAATTTTGATCTCTGAATGTAGCATAACATTTATCTACTCTAATACAATTTTGAATGACATTTACTTAAATATAACAAGGTATTTCGAATTTCTTTTGTCATTTTAATTTGAAAATTAAAATGTTCAAATATTAATTTGAAAAATTAAAATTTTCTTAAGTTAATTTCACAAAATGCATTCCTATTTTGTTAATAAATGTAACAACCCTAATTTTTTATTAAATTCCAAAACGTCTGTAAAAATGAATGACTTCTCTTTGCTATATCCAAGTTATTTCAACTCAATGATCTAAATTGAGTCTAAATAATCTAAATCTCAATATGACGTGGACATTTATTATGTCGTTTATCATAAAAAAATTCATTGTTGCCCTGATAAATATCCATTTATGATGTTGAAGAAAAAACTTACAAAATTATTGAAAATTTTGTTTTTGACTATTTTGTCCATAATTTGTTCCAAAAGAGCATTAATTTACTCAAGTGAGAGAAGCGACACTTCATAGTAAAATTAACCAAGTAAAAGTAAAAAAACTCCTAAAAGTACTTTTCCCCCAAAAAGTAGATGTATTTGAGTAAATATAAATAGTTACTGCCTAGCCCTGCTTATAACTTAGCTGTTCACAAGAAAACCCATAAAACACAAGAAGGAAACATGAATCTACTAAGAAACTGAAGCATCAATGGAAAAGAGAAGAAGTGGAAACATGGCTGCTGATTTTAACAGGAGAAAACACCCAAACTAATGGGCTCACATACAGAAGTTAGTGTGCTGATAAAAAACGCCCCTGGATTTGTTATCGTTAAATGAAAATAGTGGAAGGAAGTACTCTGGGTGGAAAAGAGCAACTCCCTCCAGGCCAGAACGCTGATCGGTCTCTTTTTCACCAAGTTTTATGAAAGAAAAGAAAATATAGTTAATCCGTATCATCAACGAGTTCCAGAAATGATTTGTTTGTGTTTTTGTTGTTTGATATAATAATTTTTAAATAAAGAAGAGCTCCATCTTTAGGAATAATATAATTCCTTCTGGGACAGTACTAATCATTTTAATTATGTGCTTAAAAGCTGTTAAACTCTATAACCATTACAGCTCGCAATAAAATCAATGCTTATAAATACAGCTGGCATTCCAACAACCACTTGCACTGTTTGGTTTATTTTTAAATAAACTCTTGTTACACATTTGTTTTCTGCATTGCACAGATGCACTATTGAAAATAGTTCAGTGTATATTTAATATTTAATACACATGCACATTATTTACTTCTTTTAAAGCAATAAACGCATTTGTACGACATCAGAGTACATTATTTCAATTCTTATGTTTCTTTTTTTACTTTTTGTGAACCTATACTACACCTGAATTTCCCCAGTGTGGGACAATAAAGGATATTTTGGTCTAATTCTGTTTCCAGTAGAGAGAGTAACAAATGAGATGTTTGACCAGAATAATCTGAGGCACACAAGAAAATCTAACTCTGGATGGAAATCCTTTTTTTACTTTCTTTTTTAAGCCACTCATGAAGCCTACAGTCACCAGCTGCGTTTCCTTTCACCACATCATTGCAAGGCTAACTGCTCAATGCTAATGGCTCAATGCTAACAGTTTAAGACTAGCAGTTTAAGGCTAGCGGTTCAAGGCTAACTGCTAAGTAAATAAACACAACTCTGATTGATTAAAATAGAAATGCTAAAATATAATAATTTCCAGATCAATACATTGAGGTAGTAATGCCTGATTTTATGTGTGTAAATTCCAATGGTAGCTCAATGACAGCACGGGAAAATACGCTGCACTAACTGCAGTTTTTACATTTAAGCACTGGTTTATGCTACTTTTTATTTTTAAGCATTTTCCTGAAGGCAGATTTTCACAAGCCGGTTTTATTTTAATCACTACTCACATGTTTTATTGTTTGTTTCTTTGTTGTTTCCCGCCAATAATCTTACAGAACCGATTCAGGACTCGTAGGAGAATTTACTTGCCTGCCATCTTTGCTTTATAAGGCAAAGACTTATAAAGTTGATAAGGGAAATTACTTAAAGTTTTGGTGTGCAAAAACTCATAAATTTTATCAAAAATGAAGATGCTTGCTGATTGGGTCTTTGACCTCATCAGACACTCATTATTGGGTCTAAAACGTAATTTTTTTGTTTTTGTTTTTACTTGACAATCTCAGACATATAATTTTTCAGAATTTAGTGCGGATGAATTAAAATGCAGCCTTTGGCTCGAGGTTTGAAATAAGCAGGAATGGCAACTCCATGCCAGCCCTTATCTTCCAACATCTGCACATAACTCAGTTAATGTTCTTGTGGCTGACTGAGATTAAATCCCTCTAAAAAACATCTAGAACACTGCCTTCCAAGAGAAATGGAGACTGTAATTAACTTAATTTTGTTGGATGCTAAAATATCAAATTTGGGTTGAAAGTTTGGGTGTTCATTTGTCTTGGCATGACTGTTGTGGGCGAGGATTCAGATATAGATGACATACAGAAGACCTGACGCTTGTTAGGAGTAAAATAAAAGAGAAAAAGATTTTAGATTTCTCTTTAAATAAAACAAAAAATGCCCAGCGGGATGCAATGCCTTGTAATCAAGCAGACAGAAGGAAAATCCAGTAATGATTAGCTTTGACTGGAATTTCATTATCTATTTTAGCAGTTGTCTTCAAAGGAACTTACTGTAAATTATAGTATGCTATTTAAAGACAACTGGGGCTGACCAAACATGTCACAAAAGTAAAAAATATAAAATAAAAAATAGTAGTTTGACAATCATTAAACAACATGGTGATGACAAACTGACTCATAAATATTTTCATTAACAAAATACAGAACAATCAAAGTATAGTCAACTGAGTTAAAAAGATACAGAAAGTTTTAAAAAATGAATAAATGATAAAGTTATCCCTTGTTTCTGATTTAATTTCGGTGCAGACGAGGTGTTAAAGGCATTCACTTTGGTGGCCTTCAGATTTTCATTCACATCCTATCTGGGTCTGTCTGCTGCAGGTTGAATTTTCCAGATTAGCCACTGATTAAATTTGTAGTTGAAAGTCAGAAATTACAACTTCTCAGTTGGAAAAATCAGCTGAAACGCCCAACGAAGTCAGACTTTCCAGTGGAAAAGTGGAAGAAATTCCAACGACCCCAGTTAGGAATTTTAAGGCCGACTTGGGTTTCAATATGGCCGCCTCTCACATGAGCAGCAGTAATTGTTGGTTGGCATTAAGGGTGGGCATTTATTGTATTGCTTATCATTTATTGTGACAAATTTCTTATGTTGATAAGAATTGTGATTTATTGTTGTCATGATAAATTCCTATTACTTATCCTTAAGAAACTGTCTGTATTATTGGGATTGTTTGTTTTACTATTTTCTCCACTGTTTTTGTAATCAGAGATCAACAAACAGTTCCTGTGCACAGTCTAGTGACAGAGTTCTTCATGTGACTGGTGACAAACGGGAATGTTTTCAAGAGCAGTTTTTCTGTTTATGAGACAGTAGTGACACAGTCACAGCCGTACAGTTACCTAAAACTGACGAAATAAATAGTTCTTATTGTCACTTTTATCACTATTACAATAGTCCCACAAAATATGGAGATAAACTTTAAGTCCATGTTGCCCACTATAATTGGAATTGTATTATTTTACAAGAAAAACGTAAAAGAATGCATCTAAAAGTCAATGTCGCATTTAGCAAAGTAAGCTTTGCTCCTTTTTTCTTATCCTAATTACATTACAACTCACACCATTCATGAGATAAATCTCAGAGGAAATGTTACATATGTAAACTAAAACAGAAGCTGGTTACTGTAGAGTAGGGGTGTCCAAATTGCGGCCCGGGGACCATTTATGGCCCTGCAAAAAATTCAAAAATGTCCAGCACAGGTGGTTGAAACAGATGCAATTTTTAAATTTTTTAGTAAGAGTACAGAGTATAGTTTTATTACATTGAAAAATGTTGGTGACTTTTTAAAACCAAGCTTTAATAATAAGAGGAATCATGTTGGGCCGTAATTTTTTACTGGAAACCAAATTTTGCTGCACTTAAATCAACTTTTATTAAAATTATTAGACTTGGCAAAATATAGCATGTGTTTTGAAAAGAAAGTGACCAACAATTTGTTCAATCAAGCCCAAAATAATTTGAAAACAAGATCAACTTTATTTTAATACCAAAAATCCTCAAATCCATTTTTACGTACAAAATTTCTTTTCTACAAAAAAATCAAAACTGGTGTCTTAATTTTTGACTGCAGGAAAAGTCCATTAACTAAAGGTCTAACACTGATTCATTGGGCAGCCCCCTAGGTTCTTTTGACTCCTCCGTTTTGGCCCTTTGACAAAAACTTTGGACACCTCTCACTGTAGAGCAGGACTCTCAATGGGAAAACTGGTATAATATCTATTTATTTTCACTTTTTTTGAACATATTTGACCTGATTCTGCACAGCAATCAGACCCACCATGTTACTCACCTAAGTTGCCACAACAGGAAACACACACATGCACAAAGGAAACAATACATGATTCCAGAAATTAGAGGACTTCTTGGTTTTCACATTGGGTTGTGTCTCTCTCCAGTAGCTTACTGGCAACCATTATGTTTCCCTCCAAGTTGGATTCTGCTGCAGAAACTTGTGGGCTAGTTGTTAGTTTTTGGAAGTATGCATGAAACCAAAGAAAGTAGCAGCCAGGAACATGCAAACAATGACCTTAAAAAGCCTAAAGTAGCAGCACACATTGAAGGTTTAACATGTGGGTTTATTTCTGCAGGAAAAGTCCATTAACTAAAGGTCTAACACTGATTCATTGGGCGGTTCTGAAGGAAATTTTGAGGTTAAAAACCCAAAACAGAGTCTGAGGGGAGGTTTCTTTAAAGGAGGAAGTATTACCGGCTATTACAGCCAGATGCCTTTTAGAGGTCAGAGGGCAAATTTAGGAAATGCACAGAAGCTGTCTTGTCCTTATAATGATGAATGGACCCTGGGGGGATTTGCGTCTTTAAAGGTGTTTGTCTTTGAGCTTCAGCTGGAAAAACTAATTAAAAGGTGCCAACAAGCTTAGCTAAAAGGCAGACCTAACTTCTTTGCTGTTGTCTATTTTATGCAACTTACGTTTAATTATATTAATTTAATTCACAGCATGACAATTTGTTTTATTTTTCTGAAATGACAGTAAACAGTCTTAAAATATACTAAAAATGGTCTATATCTCTAGACTGCTATCAGTCAAAGTTATTTTATTTAAATAGTAAAATTATAATCATTGATTTTCTTTTTTTATGGTTTTATTTCCAATACAATTTCAGTTGCTTACATTCATTTTAGAAGCTTCCCGTTTAAGGACGAGGTAAAATGAAGTGGATATATGCAACATACAGAACATAAATGAAGGAAATAATGTGATGCTTTCTGCTGTTTTATCATATAAAATCCCAATAAAATCTTGAAATTTATTTTTATTTCACTGCTATTTCAATCTGTGGCTCTTTGGTTCTTGCAAAACCAAAAAGGAAATGTCTTTGATTATACAAAAAATGTTTTTTTAAAAAAAAGTTTTTTTTCTGTAACTTATTTTGCAAAATCTGCTTTTAATATCTACTAGGGATGCACTGATCCGATATTAATATCAGTATTGGAACCAATATTTTAAGTAAGTTTAGATCAGATATTGGTGGCAATGTGCCCAATCAATAAGACCCGATCAATAAGGACAGATCTACTCTGTCTAACTCTCTCTCTGATGCATCCATGATATCTACAAATTACTAATTATTAAGCTTTTTAAATTCTAGTTAAAAACTAAAAGCTAGTTGAAAAGTTTAATTTAATAGCTTATAAAACAAACCAGCTTTTTAAAAGATAGTTTCTTTTAATTAGCTTATCAGCTAGTCAATAGCTTTTAAAGCTTAAATCTTTTGAAGTAACTAGCTTTTAAAAATAACTAACTTTTTAAAAGATAGCTACTTTTAACTAACTCAAAAGCTAGTTAAAATCTCTTAAAGTAAATAGCTTTTAAGCTAGTTAAAAGCAAGTACTCTTTAAGCTAGTTATTTTAAACTTTCCATACTAGAACATGGAAAACATTTGCTGAATATTTTCCATATTCTAAAGAAAGGGCTCACCTCATTCTATAACATTATATTCTTTTCATTCATTGATTTTGTTCAAAGTGTAAAAGTAGCAAAATAATTGTTTAATTTTGTTAGCTTTCATTATAAAACAGTTTAAAAAATTGTTTTATGGCTATAGGCGAGTTTTATTCTGTAGCAGGTTGCTAAGCCCTGCTGTAACAAAATGTGAAGAAAAGTTCAACAGGTATACGTTTTATTTTAATTTTTAATTATTTTTTTTATCTTACCTTGTGATTTAGCAAACTCATCTTTGTGACCTCCTGTGATCTTGGTGGCAACCAGGACGACAACGGCAGTGCAGACCAGAGCAGTCCTCCATAGCTTTTCCATGGTTACTACAGTATTTGCTATAGTAACAGACTTCAGTGCGGTGGTCCTCGGTCCTCTGTCCCAACATGTCTCCTGCCCTGTCGGATGCCCCGTCGCCTAGCAGAGGGACAGCTCAGCGCTGGGTCGGGCCATCGCTGCGGGATGATCAGAGACTCTCTGCACCTGCAGCATGTCTGTCTGTCTGTCTGTCTGTCTGTCTGTCTGTCTGTCTGTCTGTCTGTCTGTCTGTCTGTCTGTCTGTCTGTCTGTCTGTCACTGAGCGATGGCGAAGCTCCTCATAGACAGAGAAAACACCACACTTGACTTCTGCGATGGGGTGAAGCAGCAGCGCTGGCAGCTTTTCGGCCTCTCTCCGCTGCTCTGTGGAAGAGGAACAGTTTAGGAGGAAAGCCGGTGAAGTGAATGACAGCGAGCAGTGGTACAAATTTAGACTGAAAGAGGAGCCAGGAGTAGAGAAAACTAAACATATTCACAGACAAAGGGAGCATGAGATCCGTCTGACACAGGGCTGGACGATCCATCTGAAAAACTATAAAAGCTATATGCTCACAATATAAGCATTTTATGTCAGCCGATATCAATAATTATAGATTAGTTTTAAATATCTGAAATATGACCAAACTGATGGTGAGACCTTTCCTCTTTAATCAGTTTTCCCTCCACTCCATGTGTTTCTGTTTTCAAGCAGTTACAAGGCGCAGTGGAGAAACCTTAAACTGCTGCTGCACCAGTTTCTCAGAAGGTTGTTGCTAGGTAACCATAGGAGTGATTGAGTTGCTAGGTAACCAGAGGAGTGATTGAGTTGCTAGGTAACCATAGAATGAGTGACTGAGTTGCTAGGTAACCATAGAATGAGTGAGTTAGTTGATTCCACCAACTTTTCTTTGGCTAGTACCAATAGGAGAGGCTGAGCGGCCAAGGCAGGGGTGTCCAAAGTATGGCCCGGGGGCCGTTTTTGGCCCCTGAAATGATTTTGTTTGGGCTATGACCACAACTCAAGTGAGAACAAATCTGGCCAACAAAACAGAAAACAAATGAAGATCCAAAACATTTAGAAATTGTCTGGTTTTCCTTAAGGCAACAGTAAGCCTTAACCACATTTTTGCTTTTTTGATTGAGTGAATTGTGAAAATGTTTTTCTTTTAATAAGGCAACAGTCTGAAGCCATTTTTATGTTTAATGATACACAGATTTAATAAAAAATATTGTTGAGCACGTAAACCAAAACAAACCAACAACAACAAAAAATCACAGTGAACATTTTTTGCTTTTTGTGATTTAATGAATGTTGTGGTCAGTCATTTGAAATAGCAAAAGGTTTGTACACGAGGGGGCTAAAGCCTTTCCCCTGCCTACATCCCCCAGAATGTATGTCTAGCTCTACTTCTGACCCATCCAAAGAAGACAAGCCTTTCAAGTTTATACACTTGGAAGTGTTTATACTTAAAATTAAAGCTAAAGTTTTAGCTTTAACGCTTTATAGTTTCACACAAACAAAAAGAACCAGCAGCTTTGTCCAGGCACGTGCACCGGAAAGAGTGAATACAAAAGAAGGACAACTCTGAATCCATACACAGAGTTTGAAGTGGGTATTATGTTGAAGCTTCTGGGGTAAAATTAGCTAATTTGAGAGAAGCAGCAGGATGCCATCACCGCCAGGCTGGCGGCCTCTGATGTTTGGTTGTATGGCTGAGTGACTTGCTGGCAGCCGGCCCGAAACTCCTAATTGGACAGCATGTCAGGAGCTGATGGTATGTGTGCCTATATGGAGCTTATTCACGCCTCAAACAACGAGTACTGTACTTTACTCTGACTTCTACCTTCATGGGAAAAGTCCTCTTTCCATGAGTGATTCGACAGTAAAAGAAAAACAAACATTATTCGAGACTGAGTGGATTTTAAAACAACTAGAAGAACCCATTTTCTTTATGACTTTATCAATCTCTCATATCGCTGTGAACAAAGTTTTGTTCACTCTTCTTTACCAACTGACTTCAGTTTATTACAATTTGTGAAAATGTGTTTCTCCACAGGTTTCAATCAGGAACTTGCCACCACAATGAGTCTTTTTCAGCGTTTCTGTTGTTGATTTTCTGCTGTGCTTGGGATCAATGTCTCGATGGTGACACAATTTGGCCTCACATTTATTTTAGTAAACAGGATACCTAATTTAGAGAAACTAAGTAAGGCTAACATTCATGCTTTTGTACTGTGGCAGGAAGTTGGAATACAAGGAGAACATGCAAATTTTCAAACCCAAGACCTTCTTGATGCAAGGCAATGGTTCAACTTACTGGGCCACCCAGAAATATTAAAAACATACTTGTAAAATAGTGTATGAATATTTTAGAATTTACCTCAAAAAGCTGCATTAAGTCTCATTTATTCATTAATTTGATAATATTTTTAAATACATTGATTAAAAAAAAATGATTCAATTTTTTTTTTTACAAGCAAAAATCCCGAACCGGAACCTTTGTGTTGTGTTTCTGGTACGCTCCTAAATCTGACGCACAAGCAAAATCTGCAAACAACAGATGACAAAGCCGCATTTCTTGGCTTTGGAGTTAATTTTTACATCAATGCACGATCTGATAGGACAGTAGAGTGGGAAAGACTATTACTGTATTCAAATTTTGCTAAAAGGAGTTAGTTAGCCTAATTTGAAGCGATTAGAGCCGAAAGAGGCATCTGAATGCTAAACGCAACGCAGTAATGTCAGTGTCCACGTTTCTAAATAAGTATTTTTCAATTTAGATGTATGAATAACTCCTGGAACAACTGAAGTTTGCATGGGAATAAACTACATTTGTTGAGCTCATAAGACTATTTTCTCTATAATTAAGAAAGAAAAAGGGGTTTTGAATTTAAGAAGTTGATTTCTTTGTTGATTCTAGATTTATTAATTACAGATCTGCCAATTAACTCAATGATCATCCATGTCCACCAGATATTTCCTCTGACTTTTTAACAAACCTTTTAATGCCCTTCTCTCAAACTTGTTTATTTTTTAGTTGTTTATTTTAGCTGACGAGGCAATTTTTAGCCAAAACGTTCAACTCCTGCTATCATGTGGTCTAAAAACTGCCCACCTTCCTTCCCCACTCCCTTGGAGCAGTTTGGGGATTCAAAAGCGAGCGGAGACGCCACACTGGCCCGGATGACTGGCAGCTAACCAACTGCAGCCAAAGGTAATCAGAGGCAGATGGGAAACCTTTTGGTGATGATAGCAGAGGGGAACAAATTCCCTCCTGAAAAAAGGAAGGAAAAAAAAATAAAAACACCTTAAACCGAAAGTTGAGGAATTGTGAGAAAAGCGTCTTCTGCTTCATGTCAGCAGTAATGTGCAGGAGATACAGTAAAAGCAGACTAATAGGTCTTTGTGCTGTTGCAGCGTCCCTCATAAGCAGAACAACTAAAAAACTCCCTCTCTCATGCCCCCTCCCTCTGGCTTTTTCCCAGTCATTTCCTGCGAAAGAGCTAAACTCCCCTCCATTTTCATTACTCCTCCTCCCCGCTTACAATTTATTGTTAACGTATTAAACTCGGCTGCTTGATATCAAATGCTTTTCATTACCACTAACTCTCCTTGTGTTTATTTAAACCCAGGAAGGAGGGAGGAGGAAAAGACCCCCGGTGCTGACCCTAAGAGCTGTTTAAAGCAAAGCCCCTCAGAAATCCCCCACAACAACAACACACACGCACTTTCCTGCGCCATTTCCACCAATGAAATATTACTCCAGATATAATTGAGAGTGGGCTGTCATGCAGAGGTGACGGTGCTGTACATCTTCCTGCGGTGTGTTGTGCAAATCCTTCCCTCTGGGCCGTATCATTTTTGTGAAACAAAAACGCATGTTTGTCAGCAGGCCAAAGCGACAAAACTCTCCACTCCGTGTTTTGCTTGGATGAGCTGCGAAAAAGGAGCGTACAGCTGCGGCTGTGGCCAGCAGGGAAAGTGGTCTGGGCTGCAGACAGGCCACACAGCCTCCAACGCTATTGCAGCTTGGAGGGCAGGAAAGAAAAGGCTTGTTGTTAGAAAGACGGAGAAAAGCTGGACGTAGGTGGGCCGGACTCTAAAGCAATGAAGCTAAAACATCTTCACGATCATCTTGGTTGGCAGTGTGTGATGCTTTGCACACTTTAAGGTGACCTATTATGGTACCTTAAACAGGTTGCAACAGCTCTATGGGTGACTATAAACACTCATGACATTTTTTGGAGAAAATCACTCTGGGATAATGAGATTTTAGCTTAGTTTTACTTTTAGCTGTTTTTTCCCTCTTGTCACTTTAAATGTCTCCCAGCTCAACGTTTACGCTTGCACGTGAAAATGGACACAAACAAATGCGCATTTACATTTTGAAAAGCACTAGTTGAGCCTCCTGCACAACAAACATGAATGCAGCAAGTGGCTTCAGGATGTTTAGTCAAGAGCTAAACACCAAATGTTTTGGATCTCTGGATGCGAGGTGATGGATGGAGATCCGCTGGAGTTGCTCGGTGACGAGCCGTACCTGTTGATTTGTGACGCGACATTCAAGAGGTTTTTGAAGGGACTCATTTTCCAGACACCAAAAAATATAAACTTATCACTAAAAAACAGCAGAAGCCGTAGAGACCCCAAAGGAAGTACAAAAACGTACAAAATGCAAGTTTTGCATAACAGGTCCCCTTTGAAGCTTTTTCCTTTAAATGCTGGAGCTAATTATGATGTCCTTGTCTTTAGCTGCTGCCAGGGAGAGTGGAGCTATCCGATACCAAAGTACGCTAATCAAAGCCATATGACCGGCTCAAAGTAAAGTCTGTGTGGAGTGAACAGATGCTAAGTGTCTCACAGCTTAGCTCCGAGAGCAGCACTCTCCCCCAAACTGCCTCCACTTTGATCAGGGAGTAGCTCATGAATCAGTTTTAGGTTCAGTTTATTATTTCATTAAACTGGCACTCATTTTTAATAGGACTTTGGGGTTGGGAGGGGATCAAATGGCTCGTAAGTCCAACGTCATAATTCTGCTTTTATTATAGAGATATGAAGTCTAGAATCAAGAGAATCTTCATGTTTAAAAGAAAACCCAAACAGGTGAGAGAGAAAACTACATCTCAGACTAAACTCTGTCTGCCACAAAGACAGAGAGAGAGAAAGAGGCCTGGCATTCCTTTGCAGATTTCCCCAAATAAACAGAGTGCAGATGAAAAGTGGGAACGTAAACAGGCGGGAGAGCCTCGGATGTGCTCCCCTCGCTCTGAAAATGTGCCTCTCGAGTCTGAAACAATATTTAGTGAGAGAGAGAGAGAGAGCTGACTCGACACAAAGCGAGCAAGCCAGGAGTGAAGGGAACAGAGCGCACAGATAGCAGCAGAGGGTTTTCTTACTCTGCCTTTGAAATGCTCTGAGGCAGCCATCCAAAACTGCTAATACGCACAAAGTGACTGTCAGATAGAACAGGAAGCTCCTCACATTTAGCATAGCGTAATCAGTATCAATATACAACTGATGATCCAAGTAGGGCTGAAATAATTAGTCAGAACTATTGTGATTAAGCAATTATTTAAATAATGGTAAACTAATTTAATAATTGATTAATCAAAGAAAGTCAATTTTCTGAAAGAACAACAAACTCAGATTAGTAATTAGGCCAAAACTGTGCAAAAAATATCTACACATTTTGCATTTAAGATTAAAAAAATAAATAAAAACTTATTTGTCTGTACTATCCCTGAAATTTTTATCCATTAATGAAAGAACTTAGTCAAAGTCCTGAGCCTTTCCCATGTTGATGTTAGAAGTATTTCTTTAGCAGGTCCATACTTTGCAACAATATATACTTGTATTTTATGGTACAAAGTTTTAAAAGGATTTTTTTATTTGCACCTTTGAATGTATTCCAAATATTGTGTAAAAAGGCTTAAAGAAATTTTAAAAATCTGTAGAATGTGCCATTTTTTAGACAAATCAATCAATCGGGTGTCAAAACAATCAATTACTAAAATGACTGTTAGTTGCAGTCCAAGATCAAAGTTGTCAGCAACTTTGAAAACAGTTTGACTCCACTTTTTTTCCACAATGTTAATAATAAACATGGGTATTTTGGATATCCTTGGAACAAAAATGCAAAAGCTTCTTAATAAATTAGAAAATCTTCAAAAATTTAATTTAATTTTCTGATTTAATTCAAAATATAATGGTTATATACCTGTAGGTATTAAATGTATTACCTACAGAGCGATATGTGAAACCATTATTTAAAAACTCGAATAATTAAAACCCCAAAATGTTACATAAGGCCACCAAAAAGGGGATTTGTATGTAATTTTCTGTCCTTCACAAAATCATGGACAAGAGAGCTGCATCTAAGTCTGTTAATGAAAAGTTGAGTGGAAGGAAAACATGTGGTAGAAAAAGCTGTACAAGGAGCAACAACCGTAGCTTTGAGGAAACTGAGAATCAAAACCTTCTCAAGTGTTTGGGCGAGTTTCACACCAAGCTGTTGACGGTGCAGTAAAGCATGAAGCGGGAATGTTTCAACAGAAAGAAAGCTCAGCAGAAAGTCCTTCTGCAGTGAAGTTGGGTGCCATTGCCTTGCAGCAGGAAGAATGGAAGGTTTTTCTGCATCGAGTTTGAATGTTCTCCCTGAGGTTCTCTCACGGACTTTGTGCTCATGGTTCTTCAGTTTTTTCATTGTAAAAAATGTCCTGCTCTTAACCAAGCTGTAGCTGTCACAGAGCAGCTGTATCTGTACTGAGATTAGATTAATCACTAAAAGTCATCAGGCAACTTCTGCAGGCAATTAGTTGAGTTCGTTTGCACACCGCACTTTTCAGGCTTTTATTTGCAAAAACTGTTTTAAATCATGTACAACTTTCATTCTGTATTTCACTTTGTGTTGATCTTTCACACTAAATTCCAGATTTCGGTAGTTACTAGTTACATTTACTCAATTATACTTGAGTAACTTTTTGAAAAAATACTCTTGAGTATTTTCACTATGCTGTACTTTTTACTTTAACTTAAGTAACATTTCTGTATTTTCTACCTGCTGAATGAAAATTCACCAGACATTAGACACACACACCTGCAGATTTTGTTAAAGATTCATATGTTTTTTTATTGAAAGAAACTGTTTTGGAATAATTTTTCTTTTGCTGATTTTGTTACTTCTATGAATTATTGTCATCTTTGTTCTTAAATTAACAAAATTTCCACTTAACTTTATATTTTGGTCCATCTGATAATGGGTTTTAAATATTGAATGATAAGTAATGGAATTACCCGTTTTTTTTCTTTTTTACTATAACTTGAGTTATTTCTTAGATGTCTTTTGCTTTTACTTGAGTAAAAACATGTTGAAGTCGTGCTACTCTTACTTGAGTGTAATTTTTGGGTATTCAGCCCACCCACTAAACTCTCATGTGACAAAATGTGGAAAAGTTCAAGGGGTGCGAATACTTTTCCGACCCACTGTACATATAAAACGTATCATTAAAACCTAAATACAATCTGCAAAAGCAACACTGATTGAACCAAAAGGATGAGTTTGACTTAAAAACGTAACTGTGTTGCACATCTGTGAGCTACCTGGGATGAAGTTACATAAGCTCTGCATGCAGAATGTAAAAGTTGGCTGTGATGACACCGACATGTCATTATAACTGGATTTCGTGCTTTTATTTTTGCAGAACTGCGAGTTGCTCCCCCAGCCGGTGAAGGAAACAATGCCAGCCTTCAGTTACCTGATGGCAGCTGACAGCCACATCATCCACTGACCGGTAAAAGACTCATAAGCCTGCCCTGTCATCAGCCACTGAGGCGACCACAGCGTCAATGTACTTCTGAGGAAAAGAAGACTCGTTTAGGAAATGAAGACCGAGTCCAAAGAAAAGAACTTATGCATTTCATGAAACTGGAGAACACACAAAATCTTGATGAAAGACATGCAAAGCTTAAGCAGGAACAGCGCTGCAGAGGCAGCAGAGGTAAGAGCTGAGAAGTGAGTCCTGCCAGCATCAGTCCTGCTCCCCCCACCTTGATCTGTGCATGAAAGAAGAGAAGAAAAGAAGGGAGCAGGAGCCGGACCGCCTGGTCTTACCTGCCCGTGTCCCCTTGCAGGAGAGTCTGGTGAGAGTCTGTCCTCTGTCGCCCTGCAGCCGAGCGGAGAGGAGGCGGCGCCGGCGGCGGCAGACTAAACCTCGGCTCCTTTAACTTTACAGGAGAGCAGAGAAAGTTTAGTCAAGCTCACCCGAAGCACAAACAGGAAACGGTCCCACGTCCTTTCAGAATAAACTTCTAGTTCGGCATGAGACGGTAAACCAGAAATGAGAGATAAAGATTATTTGAGTAAAGCTGCAGTATGTAGCTTTATTTTTTTAAAATATATGTTTTTAATCCTCCCTGAGCTACGACTGCTGCATGAAGAAATGAAACCCCTCCCAACCAAAAACAGAAACAGAAGAAGGGTCTTGGCGCTGTCAGTCATCCTCATATACTTGCTGCTCAGTGTGCTAACAGCAGAGAAACAACTTATTGTTACAGGAAAAACCGTTTATCTGCTATCATCAGTGGCTACGCTAACTAGCCTGGCATTCACAACAGGCCAAGTTAGCGCAGCAGAGAGCAAGAAGGGGCAGATGAGCAGCGCCACACAGAGAGTGATTGACAGCGATTGCTTGGTAATTATTTGGTAAAATACTTCTAAAGTACTGAGTAACTGACCAAAAAAGTCATTTAATTTTTAAAAATTGTAGATGAACCAACAATAAAGTTATGTGAAAATTCAGGTGTTTTAAGGACAAAAATGACATTAACTCAGTTTCTTTCAATACGAAACTTGTGAGCCTGGAAACACTATTTGAAGAGGAGTGCATAAGATTAACTGTCACAAATAGCTAAATGATGCCTGTTTTGAACATGAAGGAGTCTTCATAAATGACTGTTGTCATGAAGTGCCATTTGATAAATAATGACATTTTTAACATAAAGTTGCACTAAAAGTTTAATTAAAAGTGCATTGGAATGTCAACTTAGCATTATTTGTGACAACAGTTAGCTTGAACAAAAACTGCAGGTGTGTGTCTGGTGAAGTTACTCACAGTGGATAAAGTATTCAGAAAATGAACTCAAGTAAGAGTAGTGATACTGTGAAATAAAATTACTGCAGTAAAAGTACTCCTAAAAGTATTTTTCCCAAAAAAGTTACTCAAATAAATGTAACTGAGTACATATAAATCTACCGACCACCTAGTATCTGTTGAAGGAACATCTCATCCACTTACAATGGAAACTATGTAAGTCAGTGTCTGTGCTTTTATTTTGAAGGAACACATGTCCCCTCCCTAACCCCCCAAAGGTTTTAGTCTCTCTGAGTTTGACAGACTTGATTCAGTTCTGCTGCCTGGCTGCCAGACTTCAAGAAAGCAGCTGCAGCCTGAGACAGTGGAGGGGGGGTGGGTTGGCCGTGTGTGTGTGTGTGTGTGGTGTGTGTGTGTCTGTGTGTGTGTGTGTGTGTGTGTGTGTGTGTTCATAACCCCAGCCACTGGTCTGCTGGTGTGAACACTTCACAGGTGCAGCATTGGAAATCTCTACTTTGCCCTATATTTGAGTCGCTGGTCACGTAGGATTGTGACTTATCTCCAGAGATCTAAATGTCAATAATTCACATAAACATGCACAAAAACTGATTAAAGCTGATTTACATAGTAGCAGTGAAAGTTTGATTCAGTTAGTCAACATATTTGTTGACTAACTTAATCTGCCAAACGTTCCATTGGCAGATTGATTCACTCATAACATGAGAAAAATGTTTTATAATATGTGAAATAACCTGTCAATGGAACAAGTATTTTTTTTTCATCGATGTTAAGGAATGAGTGACTTAAAACAAGCTTCCATTTCTTGCTCCAAAGTCACTTGGAAGTTAGTTTTGTCTTGTTTCAAGCGAACTAAAATATTTGCCCAATAAGCTAGGCCAATCCTTGCACTTTATGTACTGGACTACAACAGAGTTTTAGACATTAAAAAATAATACAATTATAAGAATAAAATTATAAAATTACAAGAATAAAGCCATAATACTACGAGAATACATTGATATTATAACTTTATTTTTTAAAATATTATGATTTTCTTCATATATTATGATTTTGTTCTCATAATATTATGACTATTCTTGTAATTTTATGGCTTTATTCTCTTAATTTTTATTTTTTCTTAGTATGGACCTACTTGTCTTGTTGGACTCCATCGCCTGTCCATATATGTGCTTTTTATGGCACTGATATTTTTTTTTTCAGCTAGAGAATAAATAGATTTTTTTTTTCCATTCTCTGGTGAATCAGTGCTATTTGTTTTTCAACTGTCACATTTTACAATCAACACTGAAGAGGATGAGACAGCCAACTCCATCTGTGGTTATCAGTAAAATCTGATTTTTTTTATGCTAGCAGGCACAGGCTACAGTCTATCAAAGAAAAGAAAAACTTTTTAATGACAGTTATGCCTTTTTATTTGCTAACAAGAGTTTAATTCCAAATCCGTTGTTTGAAAAGGAACGCAGAAAGAATCAAAAGTTACATCATGGTGTGAAAAACACAGCCAGTTCAAGTGTCAAACTGGTAAAATGGTAATTTTACCAACTATTTTGGAAATTCACACTCAAACATTTTATGACAACTCCCAAGGACTGAAGTTTAGATGTTTTGTTTGTTTATTCGTTTTCAGTATTTCCTTCACACCAATAACTGTTTTCTTCTCTTAATTTTCAGCAAGAAAACAAAAATAAAGGGTGAATCCATCAAAAACGGAACACCTCCTGCTATGCAAACCCACCCAGAGGTGGGCAATGTATTCTCACAAACACACAACAAAAACAAGAACGAAGCAATCTCCCCTAATACTGAGTGATTATTGGTGCGCTGCACAGCTCAGCTCGAGCGTCACAGATGGAAGTCAATCTAATGGCTGATCTTTGTGCATGAGTTTGCCGTTGTGTGCATGTGTGACTGGTGGTTGCTTTGGCTCTGTGTGAGTGTGTGTGTGTGTGTGTGTGTCGTTTCTCTCTAACCTCCCTTTTTCTCGACACCTTGCGCTTCTCTCATATCACCAGATGCATCTTTGTCTCAGAAGCAACAACATCAGAGCTGTGAAGCACTGAAATGTAAGTAGGTTTTGTTAGATCCGATTGTTTGAAAGAAACGTGTTTTTTATATATATTAAATAGTATCACACAAACAAAAACAAAAGAAAAAAAACACTTGAAACTTATTTTATTGAGGCGTACACAAAGTGGTGCTTAAAAATGTCAAAAACAAATTAAATTTTTTACTTTCTTAACATCTGAATTACATGTTTTCATATATATTATGCTATTTTGTTCATTCTACAATCAGAGAAATGACTCTCAATTATGCTTGAGCTTTACAAAGAAAAAAAAAGGTGTTCACATAATTTTGCCAAAGTATTGTTGCTTTTGGCTCAGACAAGCTGTAATTTCATGCACAGATTATAAATAGCTGCTTTCATTGTGCCTTCAGAACGGAAAACCAAAAGCTGGTAAATTTAAACACACTCCAGATTCCCATGTATGTCTTTTTCTAAATGTACTGGATGTATTTTAGATCGGAAGCTTGATTTTTTCCCCCTGTTGTTTGTATTATCAAGATTATTTAACACTACTTTATGTCATGAAGGTATTTGACTCAGAAATCCTCCAAATTGTAAAATCTTAATCGACATAACTGAACAGCTTGTGGTCAGAAGGTTTTATGGAGGGGGAAAAAATCCTTAAATCTTGCTTTTGTGTGGATTTCAATCTCAAGGGTTTATGTTTCAACTGAGTCAACAGTTAATTTGAATGGCAATTGTTTCCCCTGATTTAGGATATTATGGTTCAGCTTGGGTCATTTCAGCCTCTGATCTGATAAGCAGATCGGCTTCTGATCCAAAACCACCCACATAAAGACCTTGAATGCCCTTCACCGAAATAGGAGAAAAAAAATCCAGAAAAAGAATCAAATGTGGGGATTGTTTGTCGCCGGAGGCCTACGCAGATTCAAAACTCGACACAAGTTTCAAGAAGAATGCTCGAGTTACATAACAGCCAGCGGACTTCCTGATAATGCAGCACAAATAATCATGACCTAAAAACTTTACAGTGTCCATGTCTTCATCGGAGTTATGTAATTAAATAAAAACAAATCTTCCTTCAGCGTTCTGATGGTATTCTCATCAAAGGAGTGAGTTAAACAGAAAACATAAAGCGGTAAAACCCTTTTCTTATTCCGGTGACCTCGCGTTGTGATTATGTTTCTCTCCAGCCAGCAGAAATACAAGAAATAACTTTTGTCTCAGCGTCTGCTGAACACCAGCACATTTCCCACCGCAGTGATTCATATATAAAAGCAAGTCATAAAATTATAAAAGTTATGCATATAAAACAGTTAAAGGTTCTCAAAATTTAATTTAGCAACATTAGAATCACAACTTTTATCGACCAAACATTTGAACCTACAGAACATTAAAGCTAGCAAACATTTGTACGTTAGCATCAAGCTCAAAGCATCAATGTATTGTTTATAATTTTCTAAATCTATATTTGCTTGGAGTTTTATAGAATTGCTCTTTTCCCATGTTGCATGTTTTCACGTGTGACTTTTTGTTGTTGGTTCCGTCTTATTGTTATTGCAAGCAATATTTTGTATCATCTCTAAAGCCAATCGTAGCTTATCTTTGAATCGCTCTTGAATTGCACCTTGTTTGAAACTTCTGCATCATTAGGAGGGATGAAATAAAACATTTACCCCTTTCAGATCATTGCCTTCAGAGTTTTTCAAAACCTGTCCAACCTGAGATTAGCGTTGTTACCCGGAAATGTTAATCTACTGTAAAATATTTATCTTTCGCTGACGGTTTTTGCCCCATACTCCTCTGCTTTTTGAAGACAGAGTATTCCTTCCACCGTTCGCTTAGTCACAATCAGTTTACTTTCCAACCCCTCCTTTGTGAAAATATCTGATGCATATTAGAGGAATGTACGAACATTTTCCACCTTAAAATGTCTTTTCCCTCCAGACATGATGGCAGACACCACGCAAGTTTTGGGGTTCAAAGTTGTCACAGGAACTGTGTCATGTGTCGCTTCGCTTGCTTCACTTGTTTTTGTGGTTTATGGTGCAAGTCTCCAACTTTTAGAAATGATTTCTGAGCTGACACGTTGCTGCTTTTATTGTGCGGGTTGGTTTATCCTGCACCACTTTACAAACACGTAGCGTAATTAGAAAAATAGGGAGGCAACATTCAAAACGCTGGTTGAGAAAGTTAGTTATTAATTTCACTTTCTTTTTCGATTGGCTGTGCTAATGTCACATTCGGTTGCATCATCTTTTTCCACAAACTGCAATTAGAACTTTATGTAACAAACACAAAGTAAAGCATTAATGTGAAGAACACCAAGTCAAAACTTTACAGCTTTAGTCTTTTTGAATATGTCTCTATTCACATTTACCCAATTCCAGATTCACTGGAGAGCATCTGTGAGAATCTCAGTGGTTCGTTTTAACACTTGAATATCCTTCAATCTAAGCAGTTTTGTTGGTTTTTGTAGCACTGTCTGCGAATTTAGTCGTTTTGCTGAAACCCCAGGACATTACAAGGCGGTGAGGTTCAAGTCAAGACTAAAGTCTTTAAGGAGAAAGTATAATTTGAGTTTGAAGTCTTATTTTTGTGACTGAAGTGCAACTCAAGTCTGAAGTCACTATTTCTGGTTCAGGGTTCAATGCAATGCTGGTTTTCATCCCCACAAAGCATTTTGCATGCACACTGGAAAAGGGGCAGAATCACTGTTTAGCTTATGTAACTATTAAAAATATATTTTTTGTCCTTTTACTTAATAAAAAAAAAAGTCTGGAATGAATTCAACTCTACTGAACGGTGAACATTGTACACATATCAGAATAAGCACAAAACAACATTTCTCCAAAGTATGATTTATTAATAAAAATTTATTAACCTTACAGTCAAAACAGTCAGTCAATAACTATGCTGGTTAACAGTCAGCTTAGCTGGTTATCTGCTGCAATAAATAATCAAGAAACAAAAGAACGAGGTTGGAATTCTGAAATATATAACTAATGGACTAATAAAGACCATAAATGGCAATGAAACAGATGTTTACCATAGTACCACCACTCGGAAAGACATGAGGATGAAGATGAGGAGAAAAGAAAGGTGGAGGTGAAGATGCCTGGACAAAATGGCACCAACTCGCTACAAAAGGCAACAAAATCTTGGACACTTCAGTGCCAGAGAAAACGTTTATATTGACGTTTGCTCAATATAGTGAACATATATATACTTACATACATACACTTGCATCTCTGGAAAAAATGAAGAAACCACCAACAAATCTGCTTTGTGATCGATGATCATTTTCTCTGATTATACTATTTACAGGGATGTTTGAGTAAAATGAACATTGTTCTTTTATTCTATGAACTTTTGACAACATGTCTGAAATTCCAAGCAAAAGTTTAGTATTTATTTGGAGAAAATGAAAAATTGTCAAAATAATGAAAAAGATGCAAATAATGCAAAAGAAAACCGTCATTAATTTAGAAACAAGAATACTCACGTTAGCTCTGGAAGAGTTCAGACATCGATATTTTGTGGAATAAGCAGGTTTTCACTGGGGTTCAGTGCAGCGGACACTTGCCTATGTGTCTATTACAAATTGTGATTCTTAAAAAAGCACTTTATGATTAAAAATTACTTTTCTTATTCTGTTAGTTTTTAACTGAATGTCGTTCAGAAATAAGAAAAAAATAAATGAAGCTTAAGAGTTGCTTACACACAGATTTGATAAATTCAAACCATTAGAGACAAACAGCATTTGCTCTTTCAGGGTTTAGGTGAAGGTTACAGTCATATATAGTAGCAAGGCCAATCCCCAAAGCTCTTAAAGAAGCAGCTGATTTGTGCATTTTTTTTCTTTGGGTTGTTTTCTGGTGCAACATCCAGGCTCACACTCGGCATTTGTGTCCACGCTGCAGCATCTGGCTGTCTTTGTTGTGGCGAGTCGGGAGGTCAAGCCACAGTGGAGTCCGCTTCATGTGGCAGCTGTGCCGTTAGGTTTGGTTGTCCACTGTGGATGTGGGTACTAACTCAGATGTAAAGCAAGGAAACTGTGGTCAAACACATTGTTTTTTTTAGCATTTTCTTATCTTTTAAAAATTTCAGCTTCCTTGTTTGAGTGCAAAAAGTGTTTCCTTTTAAACTGAAAATGGAAATTGTGATGTGGATGGCATTGATTCAAAGATATGAGTGAGCAAAACTTTCCAAAACAATACTTTGAAAAGAAAAGAAAAAAAGCCCAACTGGTTTCGATGCTTTTAAAGATACCAAACCTTGAACAAAGAGCCCATTGGTTGTTTTTTGGTTTAATGGTTTGAGTCGATTAACAACAAATCTCAATTTCAATTTTTATCTTCGTTTGCCTTTCTCAAGACTTCCTCTGTGAATTTTTAAGCTTCTGAATCTGCTTTGTGATCGTTTCTGGCTGAAACCAGCAGGTTCGTTCTATCACGGAAATTTTCCAGACTGCATGATGTTAATCTTTTCTGTGTCGTCATGTTAGACGACACCAAGTTTACCTCAAATTCCCAAGTCAATAAGCACAAATACGGTTTAGAAGTATTTAGGTTTGATTTATCCCTTGGCAGTGAATTACTTTCTTCTGAAAGGGATTTAATTTTGATAAACATTAAACCCTCTGAAGCAGAGGGAATCATCTAGAACCAAAGAGCACCTGTTCAACGGAAGAGCGACTTGCTGGAGAAACGAGGCTGTGAGGGCGGACTGCAGTTTCCTGTTGTGGCTTTGTCACCAGTTTGTTAATCTGCAAACTATATGCAATCTTAAAGTGTGGGTGTTTAAAGCTGAATGTCTCATCCAGACGTATAATTCCCCTCCTAGCTCCTCGCTGCTGAGCTGAAACTCCCAAAAGACGCGGTTCGACTTAGAGCGCCCGTCTGACCCGGAGCCCAACAACAAACCGGAATAAAAAGAGGTGAGGGTGTCGTTTTAGATTTACATCCACTTGAGTAACTTTTTAGGGAAAAAAATACTTTAAGGTTTTTAATTTTACTTGAGTAATTTTACTTTAAAGTTTTTCTATTCTTACGTGAGTAAAATTTCTAGATTTTCTGCCTACTGATTGAAGAACAGACAAGTTTTAACCAAAGATTCACCAAAGATACACACCTGCTGGTTTTGCTAAAACTTTCTTAAGTTTTTTATTGAAAAAAAACTGACTTGGAAATTTGTTCTTTTGCCTGATTTCATTATTTTTTGTTACTTATATGAATTATTGTCATTTGGTTCATCTGATGATGTAACTTTTAAATATTAAATGAGTAATGATTTGATCAGTTACGCAGTACTTGAGTAGACTTTATCAAGTACTTTTTGACTTACTTGAACAATTTCTTGGACAGATACATTTTCCTTTCACTTTACACTGCAACAACACAAAATCTTAAGTATTTTAGTATTTTTGGTCTAGTTCTTTTGTGCAAATATCTTACTACACCTGAAATGAGCAAGAAATAGCAGCTTGTTTTAAGTCATTAGTTTATTAATGTTGACAAAAAAACACTTGTTCCATTGCCAGATTATTTCATGGGGAAAATATCTTATTAAAAGTGAAATAATCTGCCAATTGAACTTGTACTTTTTCATCAATGTTGAAGAATTATTGACTTAAAACAAGCTGTTATTCCTTGCTGAAAAGTTACTTGGAAGTTAGTTTTGTCATATCAGGTGAACTAAGATATTTGCATTATAAACTAGACCCAAATAACTTGGTGAAATTATGTTGAAGTAGTACTACTCTTACTTGAGTACAACTTTTGAGGATTATGTCCACGTTTCATTCTTAAAACATTTCTTTTTTTGTTTTGTAAATGAACTTAAAGGGATGAGTAGGGCAGATAGAGGTAGGTAGATAACAAGTGACACAAAGTGGATTTAAATTCCAAAATAATTTTTTCTTTTTGTCTTTCTATCCAGATTTCTTCACCAATATTCGTCCAGAGCTTCAAGACCAGGTTCAGATTGACTCCACCCAGGGCTCAACATGTCCGTTGACCCCGCGGTTGAGCTGCCCTTCTTCTACGGCAGCATCAGTCGCTTGGATGCCGAGCAGCACCTGAAGCTGGCCGGCATGTCGGACGGCCTCTTCCTGCTGAGACAGTGCCTCCGCAGCCTGGGAGGCTACGTCCTGTCTGTGGTCTGGAACCTGGAGTTTCACCACTACTCGATAGAGAAACAAATGAACGGGACTTACTGCATCCCCGGAGGGAAGCCTCACTGCGGCCCTGGGGAGCTCTGCGAGTTTTACAGCAAGGACCCCGACGGGCTGGTGTGTCTCCTGAAGAAGCCATGTCTGCGTCCTCCGGAGATGCCCATAAAGATCGGCGTTTTCGACAAAATGAGGGAGAACATGCTGAGGGAGTACGTCAAGCAGACCTGGAACCTGGAGGTGAGGCACAAAATTCACTCATTCTGTTTAAGATGTGCAAATTCCTCGTTTTTTCGAGGCTTTTATTCGTACTACGCTGGAGTTCTTGGAACTGAGTTTAAGGAAGACTTGGGCAGTAACTAGTTACATTTACTCAATTACTTTTCCTTGAGTAGCTTTTTGAAAAAAATATTATTTTAGGAGTATTATTACCACCCTGTAGTTTTTACTTCTACTTGAGTAAATTTACTGTGCATCTCTTCTCTTACTTGACTGAAATTTATGGATTTTCGACCCATTGAATGAAAAATAGTTTTAACAAAAATCAGACCCACACCTGCAGGTTTTGTTTTGTAGGTTTTTTATTGAAAGAAAGTGATTTGGAAATTTTTTATTTTGCCTGATTTTGTTGTTTTTGTGACTTACATTAATTTTGATCCTTAAGAGGAAAGTTTAATCTCCACTTTATATTTTGGTCTGTCTTATTATGTAACTTTTAAATATGAAAAGATTGATCATTTGTACTTGAGTAGACTTCCTACCAAGTACTTTTCCACTCTTGAGTAATTTCCTGCATGGCTACATTTTCTTTATAAATTGAAATATATAGAAATAGTCCTACTCTTAATTTTTGGGTACTTTACTCACCTTTGGTTTAAGGATTCTTAATTTAATGTGAAGCAAAAATATTTTCATTTACTTTCTAATCCAGTAAATTAAGACAAATCTATTAATACACTGCAAAAACACAAGATCTCACCAACTGATTTTTGTCTCGTTTCTATTGCCAATATCTTAGTACACTAGAAATAAAATAAAACTAACTTATAAGTAACTTTTCAGCAAGATGTAGAAGCTTGCTTTAACTCAATAATTCCTTAATAGTGACTAAAAAGTTAGTTGTTCCATTGGCATATTATTTTACTTATTACAAGGCATTTTTTCTGTGACATTTGCACAAGAAACTAGACCAAAATGATTTTGTGGTTTTGCAGTGTGCAGCACCCTAAAAGATCTACACTGAACTAATCTGCAGCTGATTAAATTCACCAAGAAATTTAGATAATTTTAAACTTTAATTTGAGTAAATTTACTTAATGGAACGAAAATGGAATGTGTTTGACTAAGTGAAACATTCTGCCAGTTGAGGGTTAGAGCCAGACATTTTGGTTTTTAATGTGGGGAAAACATTGGCAGATCAGGCAAATTATATCACCAAGAGAAACATTTTCCAGAAGTTTTACCCTTGATCAGGTTGAAAAAAAAAACAATGTTAATATGACAATTTCATTTAAATATTGTTGCACCAAAACGTTGCATCTGTTTGCAGCCATTTTCACAAACGTTGAGTTGAGGGCCACTTTTAATATTCCTGCTGCGTTTGTTCAGGGAGAAGCCATGGAGCAGGCTGTCATCAGTCAGGCTCCTCAGCTTGAGAAGCTTATCGCCACCACCGCCCATGAGCAGATGCCCTGGTATCACGGAAAAATCACTCGACAGGAAGGGGAGAGGAGGCTTTACTCTGGAGCACAGCCAGACGGCAAGTTTCTGTAAGCCTCTCAATGTCACACCTCTGCCTCTCTGTGTTGCCACTTGATGTTTAGAGTTGTCAACATTTGAGATCTTTATGCTATTGTTTTTGTTTGTTAGTGTCAGAGACAGAGAACAGGCTAATTCGTTTGCTCTCTCTCTGACGTACGGGAAAACGGCTTACCACTATCAGATCCAGCAGGACAAATCAGGGAAGTTGGCTATGCCAGAGGGAACAAAGTTTGACACGCTGTGGCAGGTAGAGCCTACATTCTCTTTTTTCTTTAGTTTTACCTTTAATTTCTGCAGAAGCTCAAGACCTTTAAATGACTGTAACTTTCTCTGCCTGTTCAGCTGGTCGAGTATCTGAAGATGAAGCCTGATGGTCTGGTAACTGTCCTGGGGGAGGCCTGCGTCAACGGCAAAACTGTAGAACGTAATAAAACATCTTGTACTTGTTCAGTTATAAATAGCACAATTTTTCACAGATTTTTCCACATTTTGTCATAGTACTACCTCCAACTTAAATGTATTTTGTTGGGATTTTATCAGAGACAAAAATAAGTGCTTTGGAATAAGTGCGTCTGTTAACTAGAAATACATCTGGACGTTTTTAGGGTGTCGAGGCGCCATGTCGGACGTCGGAAGTGAGGGATAGGAGTATTTAACAGAGCAACTGAAATTGCTTTCCAAAGTCGTTTTTTTCCTGTTTATTCGTGTCTTTTACTGACTCCAGTCAAGTTCATTTGTCTGCGAACGTAACACGCCTGGTTGCGGCTCATAGTCGGCGGTATTTACGGAAGTTGGAAACAGCTAGCTTAGAAACCAACCCATGCATCCGCCGTCTTTCCTGACGTGTTGATCAAATTACCGACTTTACCTGAATTCACACCACGTGATTTATATCGCTATGTCACAAATAGCGTTTCCCTTTACACTGGATCAGCATGAAAAACGTACAAAAGACGAGATGCTAATGCATGCTAGGCCACATGACGATGCGGCACTGTCTCCACGATTACCAACCATTAGACGCGTAACTTCTTCAAAATGCCACATTTGATATCTTTCTCGTAATAAAATAAATGATCATTGATCTTCTTACCTTGTAAAAAGTGTTTGCTGAAAATCCGTGATTACACCGAGGGTCGTTATGGTTAACGGCTGACGGTCATTATTATCATTATTAAACGGCTGCGGTCCGTCGCCATTTTATCTTTCCTCATTAAAAGTTATACAGTGAAATAATTTTCCACACTTGTTTGTTTCTGCAGTCGACCGCGGAGCACCCTACGGCAGTTTGTTTTTGTTTTCTAAAGAGAAACCAACTAAAAAGAAGAAACATTAGGTTACATATGTCTGTTTTTAGACGAGCCTAAAGAAGCGCATTGGTTGTTTTAACGTCCGTCATGGCGGAGTGGGCGGAGCTCTGGAGAGCGTGACGTCACGCGCAAAGGGTCAATATCTACCCGGGATGTTTAGCGTGAAATGGATATTTCCATTACACATAGATAGCATTTTAAATAAAGTTCAAATTTTTAGGGTTGGGCTCCTTTGACCACGGTGTTTGTTTGTTTGTTTGTCTGTCTGTCTCCTGCATGGCTTGTGTCGTTCTTTTAACAATATATTTCCTTTTCAGTGGCATAAGTTCATAATACAAACTTGCACCACACTTTTCAGTTATAAAAACGTAAGAAAACTATGCAGAATTTTACTTTTAATTCACATTTATGTCATGTCTTTGTGCCAGATTATCCCATAAAATCTCAATGAAATACACTTGTGTTTGTGGTTATGTCAAAATGTGAAAATGTTCAAGAGGCATGGATACGTTCTTATTTGTCTCTCTTTCAACGTTTCAGAGAAACCCAGTGTTCCTTCAGAAGTAAGTATTCACATCCATCTCTGTTAAAATTCAGCATTTTTTTTCAACCCCTGAGATTTATCTGGACGTTTTCCTTTCAGAGGAAAATTAGAATTCGAGTGAATCCATACACACCACCACCTGGAGGTCAGTTATTTATTTACATTGTAACACCACGCTTTTCTTACCAAACTATGGAGAGCAGTTTCATCAAAACTGAATGAATCTGCTCAATTATTTTATTAACAAAATAAATTTTGTTATTATTAAATATTCCCTTGAAATAAAATGTTGCTATTGTCAATCATATTTTCATTTATTTCAAGATTTATTTAATCTTTCTGGGTATCACTTTTGATATATATATACTTATATTTATATTTACTTGATTGTGCTATTGTTAAAACCCTAATGTCTAGGGGTACAGAGAAGTGTCTAGACAAAGATGTGAAATTTAAAATGGTTTATTTAAAAAAAAAGCTAGTTTCACAAGCAAAACACAGTACAACTTAACCCAATTAACAAACTAAAGAGTGACCCTCCAGCAGTTAAAAATAAGCAAACAAGTCAGCCTAAAATAAATTCAAAACAACCCAAAAGAAAAAGGAATACTAATGAAGCAACTCCCAAAACATCCCAAACACAAGCTAAAGGGGCAATATATGCCCAGAAAACACATAATACTGACCCTTTCATACAGTTTTCTTCTTTTTTTATTATTTTTTTTATTTCTTAAATAGAACTTACTCTGTTCCCAGTATATTTTAACACATGAAAATAAAACAAGAATTAGAATTTGGAGCTTATTTTTCTAAACACACTGAACAGATCTCATTCCCCTATCAGCTGCTGCGATGGCCTCAAAGTCAGCTACTTCTATGCCTAAAGAGCGCGACCTTCTGCCCATGGATTGTGATGGATTTAACCCGTATCACAACCCGAATGAGATCAAGAAATTCAACATCCAGCGGGACCAGCTGATCATGGACGAGGTGGAGCTCGGCTCAGGAAACTTTGGCTGTGTCAAGAAGGGAGTCCTCAGGACAGAATCGTGAGATTAGCACTATTTATTGCAAAACCAGCAATAATATTCCACATGATTTATAACAGCTTAACAATGATATTTGACCCTGTAACCTCAGAGGCCAGGTAGACGTGGCCATCAAGGTGCTGAAGAGTGAAAATGAAAAGCTGGTGAGGGATGAGATGATGAGGGAAGCAGAGATCATGCACCAGCTGGACAACCCGTTCATCGTCCGCATGCTGGGTCTGTGCAACGCGGAGCACCTGATGCTCGTCATGGAGATGGCTGCAGCCGGTCCCCTTAACAAGTTCCTCTCCTCCAAAAAGTGAGTATATAATGGAGAAAATAAATAAATGTTTTTAAAAATGACTTGAATGGAAACAAATTATGTGTTCGCAGTTTTTATCACAAAAAATGGGAAAGAATTGCACACAATAATTCAAATGTGACTTCTGTATCTCTTTGTGTGAAATTAAAACTGATTTTTAGTTGCCTTACTGCTCCAACACACCTGATTTATATGAATAACTCATATCTTTTATCAAATATTGAAGAGATAATTTAATGGTCTGATTCAGCTGGGTGGGAGTAGAGAGGCATTTAAAACCTGCAGGACAGTAAAATCTCCAGGACTGCAGTTGGAGATCACTCAATTAAAAAATATATTTGCACACTAGTACGAACAGAAGTCACATTTGGGATACCACAATGTTCAATCTTTTGACCCCGACCATTTGATATCGACATTCTGCCTCTGGTTGTAACAATAAGTAAGATTCACTGTGAAGACGATACACGGCTCTACATTACGATGTCACCAGGTGACTCAAAACCCGTCCAATCACTGAGCAGATGCTTAGAACAGGTACATGTGTGGATGTGCCAAAACTTTCCCCTGAACATTCAGAGTCACATAAAGACAGTTACAAAGTCGGCCTTCTGTCACCTGAAGAACATCTCCAGGATCAGAGGACTAATGTTTCAGCAGGATCTAGAGAAATTCATCTATACATTTATCTTTAGTCGCATTGATTACTGCAACAGCGTCTTCACAGGTCTGCCTAAAAAAATCAATCAGATCCAGAAAGACGAATCACATCACACCAGTTCTAAAGTCCTTCCACTGGATCTCTGTAGCTCAGAGAATACATTTTACTGTTGTTATAAATGAAATGCTTAGCACCACAATACATTAAAGATCTGCTGCTGTGGTATCAACCGTCCAGAACCTCTCAGGAGTTTTGCTTCTGGTTCTACTCTGCATCCTCAGAACCAGAACCTAACAAGAAGCAGCATTCAGCTTGTATGAACCACAAATCTGGAACAAACTTCCAGAAAACTGCAAAACATTTGAAACACTGAGTTCCTTTAAATCCAGACATAAAACCCACGTGTTTGGAATTTCTTTCTTTTAGTTATAAGTGAAACATTGATCCATATATTTGCTTGATGGTGGGATTTAACAAAATGTACTGTTTATTATTTGTTTCATAATTCGTGACTGTAATGTTTTTATTATATAAAACACTTTGAATTGTCTTGTTTTTGAAATGTACTATACAAATAAACTTGTCTTATGTCAGGGTCAGTACTCAAATGAACATTTGTAGAAGGCAAAGTTCACATACAAGACACAATTTTTTTCAAATTAACCAAAGATTAAGTCAGAAACAATTAACATAGTAAGTAAGCATAAGATCTGTTACTGGAGAATGAGCAAATCTACTGGGAAGAATGGTAGCTGTTAGCGGATTAGAAATATGAAACAAAAATTGAACAAAGAGCTGACACACATGAAGGAACCTGAGGACATCTAGTGGAGACAGCAGGAATAAGTTCAAGCCACCAAACTAGAGCAATATTTGAAGAAGTACTGCAATATAACAAACCAAGATAAACAGAAAATAAAAAGCATGAAATCAAAAATTCTCCATTCAAGACAGACCATCGTTATTGCTCAGACTCATCTTGTTTGTATCCGTCTCAGGGAAACTGTGTCTGTGGAGGACATTGTCAACCTGATGCACCAGGTATCGATGGGGATGAAGTATTTGGAGGAGAAGAACTTTGTGCACAGAGATCTGGCAGCTCGCAACGTCCTGCTGGTCAACCAGCAGTTCGCCAAAATCAGTGACTTTGGGCTTTCCAAGGCACTGGGAGCAGATGACAACTACTACAAAGTACGCAGCCGCTTTTCTTTAAGGATGATAAACAATAATCATGACCTAATATTCAGTACTGAATGGAATAAGAAGTGTTTAAAAGGAAAATTGTTGGTTATGTTTGCTTACTGTCAATTAATGATGTTTCCAGGCTCGTACAGCAGGTAAATGGCCACTGAAATGGTACGCTCCAGAATGTATAAACTTCCACAAATTCTCCAGTAAAAGTGACGTGTGGAGCTTTGGCGTCACCATGTGGGAAGCGTTCTCCTACGGAGGAAAACCCTACAAGGTAACAGCAACGTGCGAGAGTGAATTCATGAAAGATTCTCACCTTTTAGGATTTGAACAACTCTTAAACGTCATGCTACAAATTCTACCTCTCTGACTTTACTCCAGAAAATGAAAGGTCAGGAGGTCACGGCCTTCATTAACAGCGGGGGCCGCATGGAGCGTCCGCCAGTGTGTCCAGAGAGGATGTACACACTGATGAGAGAGTGCTGGACAGAGTCGTAAGAAACCAAATCTCCTTCATCTCACAACTGACATACAGAACCTTGCAAAGTATTTATACCCATTAAAAGTTTAATGCATGGGCGTCTAAAGTGCCCTTGATCACATTTCAAGAATATCCTAAAATCGGTTTGCTGCTTCAGCCAGTTGATGCAAATCTACATTTTAAAATATTCAAATGGAAAATGTGTAACACAAAGTATTCATCCAGGGTTTTGCTTTTCATTTAATGTATTAGTAATATTAATCAAAAACATCCAGTGGCTTTTACTAAAAGGCAGACTTAGGAACGCCCATTTAATGAACTTGGAAAAATAAAGCAATAAACTTTTCTTGTTATGAGAAAGAGACAAAAAAAATCTGGTAAAAGATGAAAAAATACAGAATAGGATTCACTGTCTTTTGTCTTAATCTGGCAAACCTGCAAGACCTTTTTTTATTTTAAATCTGCAAAGAAGTGGTTGCTTATTTCAATAAAATATTTTGTGTTTAGTTTGTTTATTTATTAAGTAAAAATAAAAGTTTTTGCAATTATAATTGCCTCCATGCATAAAAGTTTGGGCACCACTGGTTTAGTGTATTTTATCTGGATTTTATGAGAAACCAAAAGTTGTGAAAAAGAGGAAATAATTCAATGGATTTATACAAATAAAAATCTGAATCGCATGGATTGGATTAGTTGTCAGTCCCTTTCATTTTGGCATAAACTAAACCCAGTGCAACCAACTACCTCAGTAATTGATGTTGTACTTGGAACTGGGAAATTCTGACTTTCCACGTGGAAAAAAATCAACTGGAGCACCATCAGGGTAAAGTTAATGGGAAGGTAGAAGGAGATAAATACATCCTAGAAAACTTGTTGCAGCCTACAGAAGATTAGAGACCAGGGAGGCAGGGAGGCATGTGTTCGTCTGTCACGTAAACCTCAAGAAAATACACTAAACAGCAACTTTACCATCAAAAAGGAAAAGAAAAAAAAAGAAAATTTCAATGGGTTTGAAAGTTTTTACCAGGCTTTGTGATATAAACAAAAAAAATGTGTAAAACAAAGAAACAGATGATAACTTTATTCCATCCTTAGACAAGTAGAAACAGGAAAAAGTCCAAATAAAAAAGAAAGTCTAGACAACATTTCTAGTTTGCATAATTTTTATTTGATTGCTGCAAAGTTCCAAAAATTGAGTAAAGTTTGTTTTCAAACATGCAGCAAGTCTAGAGTTGACATAAATGCTACTGTACGAGCCTTGTATTATCAGATTGATAATAATTAAGGTTTTATTTATCACTTTCAGCATGCTAAACCAAGATCTCTCTCTCTCTCTTTCCAGCCTCGAGGATCGCCCCGACTTCAAGAAGGTCGAGGAGTCCATGAGGACTTATCATTACTCCATATCCAGCAAGGCCAAGCTTACTGGGGCCGGAGCTGCTGCCATGCCTAGCAAGTAGACAGGAAGACAGGCGCATTCTGTCCCACTGCTGCACAAAGCATCTTTTCAACCAAGCGTTAAACTACTAAAACAAAGGGCATTTCATGAGTGGTGCATAATGATGAGCTTTGAATGCCGAGCAAATACAGCTAAATGGGCCTCATTGACAATAAATGTGCATTTGTAAATTGTTCCTGGGTGTTTCAGCTGTTTAAGGAGGGTTGCTGTAGGTTCGTGTGTCTGTCATGGTCTGAATGTTCAGAGTGTTTGCGTCAATGACAAAACTAATTCTGTATTCTGGTATTTCTAGACTGTAATGGGACTCTATGGCACATGAAGAAGTTTTTTTTTTTTCTTAAAGCAGTTTGTCTATTTTTATGCCAAATAAAGTGAAACTGACAAAAAATAGATCATTTGAGTCAGAATTCTATGTTAAGTGATTCATATATTTAGAATGGACACCATAGAAAATACAAAAATATGTGAGTTTACAGGGGTTTAACTGTGTGTGACAATTTTTATCTTCCATTTTTTATTTTAAAGCCATCTTGGCTGTGTGGAATGAATGTGCAATATATTTACTTAAAAAAACAAATCTGTCATTTACAAACTCAAAGAAACAAAGAGACATCTATTTATTTCTTAGTCCTAAGATTCACTCAGAATCAGTCACCGTCTTTATCCTTCAGCCAATAGAAAATCCATTGGGAGTGAGTAATTACTTTAACAGCAAAATTTTAAAAAGCAAAGTGAGCAACACTGCAAACTATAAGAGGAAGTTTCTGGTTGGGGAACTTAACACTCACAATGCAAATTTAAATGATAAAAATATCACTTATCAAAAGTTTGATAAGTTATATCAAGATTTATATGAAAACCTTAATGTCAAAATCTCTTGGGACTTTAGAGAATGGGACATGTGGCCTACTTTGGAGTTCTACGTAACAGTCATTAATTTTATTATTAATGTATTTATCTTCATATTTATCTCAGTGCAGATACTGAACAAAATAAAACTTCAACAGACAATATATTCAGCTTAGTAACATTTATAAAAAATAACAAAAAGTCCAAGTGAATGAGAGGAACTAAAATAGAAGGAATTAACGTTAAATTAACATTGAAAAGGTAACTGTAAGCAGGTGGGTCATTAACCTTGATTTAGGAACTCAGTGTTTCAGCTGTTTTGCAGCAAATATTACATTTCGCACACTTTTGTACTTTCATTTGGGTCTCAACTGCTTCTAAAAAATAAAATAAAAAACACCCAGCTGTTTTTTGGCAATAAGTTAATGTCAGAATGTGTCAGCTGGGAGCATGGATCTTTGTGAATGTTCTCTAATGAAAAATACTGAAAACTTACAAAAATCAGGGAACCAGAGTGGAACAAAAACAGGAACAAAAAGCTTGCAGAATATTGATAGGGATGCAACCAGGACGTGTTGGGATTTAACAGAAATTAACAGGAGAAGCCAGCAGAGAGTGAGAGCAGGAGAAGGGTTTTTAATTCTGTGAAGGTGAATGTTGGAACAAAAGAACTGGGATGATTAGCTGGCGGATTGCAGGTGTGAAAGGCTGCAGCCTGAAGTGACCTAAATCACATTTTCCCCCTCCTTTTGCCTTAATGCCTTCTGTATCTGATCTTTTCATGGCAGTCTGAAAATTACAGATCAGATTTCTGTTAAAGTTTCCCAGGCCTCTTAGACATGTGGTCCAAAATCCGGTATGTAGCTGATCTTTCCAAATGTGACCCGAGTCTGTACGGCCAGATGGCATTCATCCGACCTGAACGTCATTGATGCTCAACAAACGTCACTACTCTGCGTCCTGGTACGTGCAACCGGGAAGAACAAAAACAATAAAGAGGATTAAGTTTTTAATGAACTGGCTGCGGTTGGACAACAACTTTACAATCATAAACTATGCCCCACTATTACTATCCACATTTACACTGAGATCACATAAAAGTCGCATATATTTGGAATTGTGAAGGACCACAATTCCCCCAAAAAATTTGAAATGAATAAATAAATAAATCAGAGTTCACACAAACAAAAAAAAATTGAATTTAGCACATGTGAATGTATCTTAGAGTAACCTTTGACTAGACACAAGGAACAGATTAACAAACCGGAATCACTGAGAAAGGCCTCTGAGAAATGTTTTGAACATTTTCAAAACAAGAAAATGAGAAAACACTGTAATAATGGAACCAGGACGAAATGATCAAGACAACCTAAATGTTTTTTCATCTCTGGGAAACAAGCGGATATTTCAATGTTGAGTCACAACGGAAGGACACTGCTCCGTTACCTAGCAACCCCAGCAAGTACAGCCCATCACCTGGCAACGCACGCGGCGCTCCAGCCCATTTGGTCAGCTGGGTTCAGCGTTGTATGCATTGCACAGGAGCTACTGGGAGCTACAGGGATGTTGGTGCTGGCCTTGTTGTTCCCAACTATCGCATTTTAATGTTAATTAATCTAGGATCGTTTTGAAACAGTTTTGAAATCTTAAATTACTAAATTAAGATTATTGAAACTAAATTTTGAGATGGAAAGTGTCCTGACTGCTTCAGGACACTCTGAGATCCTGAAGGATTCAGTTTTTCAAGATTTAAGGATGCTATTACAGTGGCATAAATGGTTGTTATTGTCAAAATTTTGGACCACCAAGGGGATTTTGAGGGGATTTTGTGAAAAGCAGTTCTGGTTTGCTTGCCTGCACAGAAACCATCTCATTATCTTCATAGTTCATAAGTGGGGGTTGAATGGAATGGGAAGTAAATAGGCAGACTAGAGAACTATCTGCAATTATGTGAATGGTGTACCAGCCTGCTGAGAAGAAAAGAGATGTGAGCCGCAAGGTAAAACTCTGACTTTCTGCGTTAAATTATAGGGAGAACCTGTAAAAAATATGCAAAAAAACTCCAGACTGGGATTAAAACCCAGGGCTTTCTTCCTGCATGGAAACAGTGCTTTGAATTAATGTTTTACTTTTCATTAAGATATCAAACTTTCCTAAATTAGGTTACCTGTTTCTTTTTTGTGCAACTGCTCTGTCTTCTCAAACTCCCACCTGGTCGCTCGTACTGAGATCTGCTGGAGGCCTCTTCCTGTTTAAGGGGACATTTTTCCTCTCCAACATCCATTTACAATATGAAGGATTCTTATAAAGTCAACAATACAATACTCACGATTGTTTACTGTCGCTACGCGCTCGTGAATACTGCAAGTCATTCATTTCATAAATCTAATTTCATTAGATAGAAAATGTTTTGAACCAATTTTAATAAACAGAACTTAATAACCAGGATCAACAGGAATGTGGGTAAGATTAATTGGAAATTATGTATTTTGTGAATGAATTATTAATTATTGATTAACTGAATTGAACTGAAATTGAACGTTGACAGGTAAGTGGGGGGAAATTTCAACGTAGACCACAAATATCCTTGAGGAACTATTATTTCTGAAATGGGAACGCTTGAGGAACTATTATTTCTGAAATGGGAACGCTTCATTTACACAAAGATTAGTTATAAAGGACTTCAGGACTTCATTTCTACTTTCTTACTTTTTAGTCTTGGACTAGTTACCTTTGCAAACCGACCTCAACTACGGATGAATGGGTAAAAATACCATCAAGTCATTTAGGGTGTTTTTTATTGCATTTGATCATCTGATCCCTACATGTAAAAACACATGTTTTGTGAGTATTCTAATAGATTTATGAGCAACAAAAAGTTATCCAGAGTTGTTTATTTATTTGTGGTTTAAACATGATATACTGTGGTTTACTTAATCTGCGTTATGAAATAAATTAGGTTAGTCTGACAGGCTGTGTAACACATTGTGTCAGAGGAAGTGCCTCTGTCTTGCCAGGCAACGCTGAACGAGACCGGAAGTTTAAAGATGGCTTTCCAAAATAAGATTTTGTCGTATGTACCACGGATTTGTATCTAAAATATGTGTTACTTTACATAAATAATAAGCGATTCAAATAAGTCTTCGTAGTTTTTTTTTAAAGAGAAAATATAAATCAATCTGCATGAGCTTTATCAATTCTCATCTTGAAGTGAGAATTTGACAACATGATTTAGTCACAGTAAAACATGATTATAATAGTTTACTTTGAAAAAATATATTAATTAATTAAAGAAGAAGAATATAACTTTAGTCCTCGCTACATTTCTATTTTCTGTTTTAAATAAACAACAAGCCAGCTATTAGAGCAGATTGGTTGGTTGCAACATTTTTAAAGACGTGTAGATCCCTAATCTCTTATCTAATCTGTAATCTGTGTACAAATGCCTGACTGCTGAGAATGTGTCAAACATTTTATATCCATCTCTAATTCCATAATAACATATTTCCCAAAGTTTTATTCATGAATGTCTATCCTGGGTACGATTCATTATGTAATATTCAAGCAACAATATTTTATCAATTTGTTTTAATCCAGTGAAAAAATTCAAATCGATTATTTTGAAGGTCTCAAGCGGAAGTCGCTGGTGTTACCGCTAACTTTGCGGTGGTATACTTTTCGCATCGCAGGGAGGAGTCAGCCGTTAGTTTCTTCATTAAAGTGGCATATTTATTGATTTATCGCCGTCTTTACAGCATGTTTAGCTGCCTGAATCCATAATGTAGGTCGCGCATATCACTGACGAACAGCTATTGACGAGTTATCGCGTAATCTTTGGGTAGAAGACCGAAGGAAACAGGAAGGCGGAACAAGTAAGTTCGGGAAAGTGCCTTTCAACTGTGCGGTTTCGTCACCGTCTGATCAGACCGTCTCAGATAACTGATGTTGTTTCTGGTTGATTTTATTGATAACTGTCACTGCGGGTATATAAGCTTTCTTGTGTATGATTTATTTATTTCTTTATTTATCCCGTTGTTGTGTTTTTGAGCAACAAGTCGGAGCGCGCGCGCTGCGGAGCGTCAAGAACAAACTTCGGCAGCAGTCGTCATGTGCCCCGCTGCTTTAATCTCCGGGGCTTTCATCCTGGAAAATGAGCTAAAAACGACACAAATCCGCATTGTTATGAGGGGGGTGGCGCTCATTCTTCAGACAGGGGCCTAAATAACAGCACTCATGTGAAGTTAAAGGCGGGTTCCGTCGTTGTTGTGCATCGTAAGCTTTCAGGCTCTGAAGTAGGAAATGACTCACGCAGACTCCATGTTTCATCTTCAATGTGGAAGTTTCACCTCAATTATTGGCTTAATTTAATTTGTTTTGAATGCATTTTAAATTAGTGGCATTTTTTGTGGCAGGTAAAGTTAAAGTTCAATTCACATTCTGAGGGAAGGAGGGGATTCCTTCATTTTGTGCCCCACCTGTATTGATTAGGGACACAAAACTTGACATAAATATAATTTATAATTGTATATT